ATCGGGTGACCCACGAATCGTGTTGTCACATAATTATATACTAGTAGCAGCAAAAAAAAATAGTTTTATGTCACCAAAAAAAAAAAAGAAATAGTTTTATTTGAGGGAAAAGAAAACAGCCACGTGTCAGTTGGCTGTGAAATTCCCCGAAGGATTACTGCTCTCAGCATTTGATCTCAATTATTTATTAATAATCAAACAGATACACAAACCAAATACAATAGTAAGCCGTAATTGGGAGATTGAAATGAAGTATGACTCGATTTCCCATATTTAAACAAGAGCTATTTTAATAATTTAAATACATTAAAAAAATTAAATGAATTAGTTAACTACAACAAAAGAGACATAATCTTTCTAAAATATTTGTGTGTAATATTAAATTATATATATGTTAATTTATAAATAAGATAAATTAATTCAAAAAAATCTATATGTATAAAAAACAAAATAAATTGAAAAAATTATATTTGAGATTAAATTCAACTCTCAAGTTACTTACCATATACTAAGTATCCTAAGGAATTCTATTAGTTGAAATTGGGCTCTTACTAGATAGAAACGTCTTTAGGATGTTAATGAGTTAGGAGTGTTTGGTATCACATAAAAATACTTTTAAAAAATATTTTTTAAAATTAAAATAAATTTTTTTATATATTTATTTTGTATACTGTAAAATTATTTTTAAAATTATAATTTATTCTCTATCCAAACATTTTTTTTGAAGTTTATAACTCATAAAAGAGTTGTGGTTTCAAATTTTTGCTGGCAAAAAAAAAGTTTTTGAGATGTGTGCAGGCACACGTTGCAAGGATACGAATGTGAAGGTTACGAATGACAAGGTCAAAAAGAAAAGGTTAGGAATGACCGGGGACATATTCCGTCATAGCCACGCTTGTACACGCGGCACAACCACGTTGGCTAACAAATGTCCCGCCATAACAAAAGAGCAGACCTTTTTTGGTACGTGGGATTTTGTCTGTTTAGTTTCATACTATGTATGTACGTACGAGAGATCAACCCACCCCCCAGCTGGCAAAGGGCAGCTCGCGTTGTTTGTTTCTTGGCACAGACCTTCCTTCCTTTGTCCGGCCACTTTCTCATATTACATGAACATGATCACATACAAGATAAAGGACATATGAACATTTCGTAACAATAAATGGTGGATAATAGATACTCTCTAGCTAACAACGATTGGGTTGATTATATAATGGACGCCATAATGTTCCTTGAATATGATTTTGGGTTTGTGTTCTTTTTTCATTTTTTTAGGTTACAGCAGGGCCTTGAACTTGATGGTTAGAACTAACTAATACTGATAATTAAATATTATTGCTCGGGAAAGAAAGCCAACTTATAATCAAACTTACAATCAAACAAATGTTTCATCCAAGCATTATCTAGCCAGGCGTCGGATATTTATTTCGAATATCGTAAAATCACTTTTAAAATTATGGTTTGGTTTCCATTCAAACACAATTTTTATTAACAGAAATAAAATAAATTTTGTTTTAAGATGGAGGGATCATCACATATTTAATGGCTGAGACAAGTCTTTTTTTAAGAAGCAAATAATTTGTTTTAAATATTATTCTCTCCGATTCTTAATGTAAAAGTTAGTTAGAATTGGATCAGCGCATAAATATATAATCATTTTGATGGCAAAAATATATAAGACAATTTCAATATACTTTGCTTGTTATATGTAACATTTTTTTTTCTAAATAAATTTACCTTATAGATTAAACTAATACATAATCTAATATCACATAATTACACAGATTTTAGGAAAATTAGACTGCATTTAGTATAATTAACTAATTTATTTAACTTTTTTAATTTATTCAAATCTAATGAGCGGCTTTTATATATATACATATTAGGGAATGGGGAGAGTAAATAAAAACCACCTAACCAAAACGAATATGGTCTTCTTAACAGGCTCGGATCATAATGCACTCTTTCGTTAGAATTAAATTATAACTCTGTTCAGTTGGCTGCACAAGCTAAATAGAAAGGGACTGTGATAATACAAGAGGATCTGTCAGATAGCGTGAAGGGGACAATAATTATTTGATTGAAAAAGCTAATAAAGACGACGAAGGTACAGTTGCCAATTTATGAGGGCGTTGACATGTGGTGTCATATGAAAGAGGGTAATGCATGAAACCCTAGAATTCCTTGGGATATATATTGTGTTACGAAACAAAATAATATCAAGATTCCTTTTCAAATCCTAAATCTAGTGTGTGGTTCAACCAACTTTGTGACTTTGTCCATCTCATTCGTCGTCTACTTCTCTCTTTTGTCTGTCCTTATGCATGTGATCATGTTCAAATCTCTAGCTGCAGCCATCTGAAATTACTATCTCCAATTTCCCAGTATGAAAATTAAACAACTAATTTAAACATATTGAAAAAATTGATCAAATTAATTATCTATAACAAATGTTTATTAATTTTCTTATATTACTCTCTTTTATAATATGCAATGAAGCCATTATTCTTGGTGTAAATCCTTTACAATCAATAAAAATATTTTAAGAGAAGACTATTAATTTGAGAGATAAAATGAACTGAGTTCTTACGTAATTGTGTTTATAACCAAATTCAACTTTCAACTACTCTCTCTGATTCCTATTATAAGAACCTAGTAACTAATTCACATGTATATATGAAAATAGTTAAAAAATTAAATTTTTCATAAAATGCAAATAATTTTTAATTTTATCCTAATCAACTATACTGAATTTTAACGTACGCTATGGTAATTTTTATTTTCTCACTACCTCCTTAGTACGAGCTTACATGAAAAAAAATATTTAGTGTTGATTGAATCTACCAAATATCAAAGAGTCTTATCTCCCACCTAGAATAACCAGAAGAGGGAGTAGCTTTTGTATATTAAAGGAAGGAGGTAGTATATGAAACCTTCATCTTCGGCTGCCGGTTTGACTACTTGTGCCTTAGTTGTAAGTTTTCAAAAGATCTCACCCAATTCCCTTCTTCTTTTTCGAAACTCAGCCAACTTTGTTTAATGCACTGTTACACCAGCACATGCTCGCTTGATTTTCTGTCTTGGTTTCATATGTTACCGTTGAAATTAATGTTCTTGATATTTCTACCGTCCGCTGGGTTTCAATTCTTTCCCTTGAAAATGTGTTGAAAATTTTGAATTTTTCAAGGTATATATATTTGCCAACTTCAAGTTATATACTATCTCCGGTTTTAATTATAAGATCTCGTTTATAAACTACTAACGAGATTTTATAATTAGGACTGGAGGTAGTATAACACGTTGTTTGATTTTTATTTTGATCTTAAATATAAAACCCTAATCCATTTTGTCTCTCATATTTATGCATTTTTTTAAAGATGATACTTTTAATAATGATAATTCTAACTAATACACTTGATCAGTAAAGATATTTTAGAAAAAACAATACTCCTCCGGTCCTTAATATAAGACCCATTTAACTAATTTGATTAGATTAAGGAAGTTAGGTAAGTTAGTTAATTATAAAAAAAATGATACATTTTTCCTAAAATACCATAATCACCTTTCTTAATACTTCATCTCCCTCTTCTATTTGATTATGGTTGATAGAGTATTTATAGGGGTAATTTAGAGAAAATTAATAAATATGATAAATGGGTCTTATATTTAGGACCAAAACCAACTCAAGAATTAGGTCCTATATTAAGGACCGGAGGAGTACATAGTTATTACAAATAACTAACTTAACTTATTTTATTAATCTTTTTAAATTAGTCAACTAGCTTTTATATTTAGGATCGGAGGTAGTGTGTGTAACACTTTTCAGGATATATGGAAATTATACAATTTTTTTTTTGGTAGCCTTGAACAGGTCGTGCATAATAGCTGAGTCAGCCAAAGCCACAAGACTACGAGAGATTGCTTGTAGGGAATTCTAATTTGTCATCGATTCCGGCCAATAATCTAGAAGATGTATTCTTCTAGCTAGATCACAGACTCACAGTAGTTTCAATTCAGACACACTAATCTGAATAATCAAAGCAAATTAAAGAATAAAAGCGTTAATTAAATATCAACTGATAACAATGAGATGGAATTGAATATGGGTAATCGTTTCAAATATTTTCATGTGATAAGACAAAACATACTTCCTCCGTTGTGATTTATAGGTCACTGTGATTTTGAACATGTTCTTTAATTAAGTTTCTTACTTTTTTTTCCCAATACTGCTGGGAAAATTTGCAGTAATAAATAACTAATGTGGTGCTTTACCAAAAAAAAAAAAAGCACGAGAACTCCCGTCCAAGTGCCTTGTACATAAAATTAGATGGCGTGATTTTTAATTTATATACCGATTATTGAATACACAACAAACTAAGTCTTATGTTTATGATCGGGAGTAGCAGAACATAGGACATATTTGATTTATCGAAGAAGAGTGATTACATTAATTTAAGGTGAATTTTGAGCACATTGCCTGGCGAAAATGCTAAACTTGATCGAATTTCCTTGATCCTCGTAATTAATTATATGAGTTTGGCGAGCCCGATCATTAGTCTTCCAATTTTGCATGATAATGTAATTATTGAACCAATGCAGACGTCAGCGTTGTACTAAATTAGGAAAACAGAGACGTAACCTTACGCCATGACGAGAAGTCGATAACCACACAGGCCAATCAATATGAGTAAAACGGCGACGTCTCTTCCTCTGAAAAGTGCATTTTTGACCTTCTGCAAAGTCAATATTTCTTTAAAACCTCTTCTATTTTTGGATTCGTAGGTCAAAATCTTCGCCTCCACAAAAACCAACCTTCTTCCTCCGAATACCGTGTGATTCCTATCAATTTAAACTACAATTCGTCACGATTTTCACTACCCTCTTCACCGGCTCTCCCTGTTTCCCGGTTGCCTCCCACCGCCACGTGTCCTTCCCCTTGTCCTTATAAATACGCCAACCATCCCGTTTCCCTCGTCTTTCTTATCCTTCACCAACATAATTCCAACCTGAAAATTTTCTCCCTTTTTTTCTGTCTCATTTGATATTTCTCCAATGTTTTCTTGGATGAAAAGCGAACAGGGAGGCGCCATGGTGGCTGATCCTTCTGGCTTTCACCGGCCCAGATTCGGAGCTCTGTTGCACTCCGATCGGACGTCCTTTTGCTCCAGCAACTACGACGGCGAGGATTCAACTTCGAGCCCGATGAACTACGCCGACAGCACCACCACGAGCAACGCCAGTTCTCCTTACTTGATGTCTCCGTGGAATCCGGTGGCCTCGCCGTACAATAAATCTCCCTGGTTGTTGTCGTCGCCGATACATGATAATACCTACGGCGACGGTAACGACGGGCACCAGCAAAATAGCCTCATCAAGTCACTCGTCCGCGAGGAGGGTAACATATATTCTCTGGCGGTATCTGCGGATTTTTTATACACGGGAACCGATAGCAAAAACATCAGAGTCTGGAAGAATCTCAGGAGCCATGGGGGCTTCAAATCGAGCAGTGGATTAGTGAAAGCCATTGTTATCTCCGGCGACAAAATCTTCACCGGCCACCAAGACGGTAAAATCAGAGTTTGGAAGAGTTCGCAGAAATTCTCTGGCTATCATAAACGCATTGGAACCTTGCCCACCTTCAAGGACTATGTCAAAAACTCGACGAATCCGAAGAACTACGTGAAAATCCGGAGGCACAAAAAAACGCTGAGAATCAAACATTTCGACGCTATTTCGAGCATGACTTTGGACGAAAACCAAGAGTTCTTATACTCGTGTTCGTGGGATAAAACCTTGAAAGTGTGGCGATTGTCGGATTTCAAATGCTTGGAATCTATCCAGGCACATGATGACGCTGTGAACTCGGTGGTGGCAGGGTTCCAGTGCTTCGTCTTCACCGGTTCGGCGGACGGGACGGTGAAGATGTGGAGGAGAGAGACGACGTGGGAGGGGAAGACGAGGCACGTCCTCGATCGGATTCTGTTGAAGCAGGATAACGCCGTAACAGCTTTGGCGGTGAACAGCTGGTCGACGGTTTTATATTGCGGCTCATCGGATGGGGTGGTTAACCTTTGGGAACGGTTTCCTAAGAACAACCTGAGGCACGGCGGTATGCTGAGAGGCCACAAGCTGGCGGTGCTGTGCTTAGCCGCCGGGAAGAACCTGGTGTTCAGCGGGTCGGCGGATAAGAACGTTTGCGTGTGGAAAAGGGAGGTGAACGGGTCCCACACTTGCCTTTCGGTTCTGACGGGTCACACCGGACCCGTAAAATGCATAGCTGCAGAACAAGATCAAGAACAAGAAGAAATTTACAAACAGCACAGGTGGACGGTTTACACGGGGAGCTTGGACAAGTCCGTGAAGGTGTGGCGCGTGTACTCACGCTCCGGAGACACCAGGCGTGGGAAGTAACACGCACGCTCGGAAGATCCCAACAGCGGAGAAAGGGAGCTTTCCACCGCCTGTAATAGGCGGAAGGAAGGGGAACGAAAGCAGGATGCGTTCGTGTGTGTGAAAATGGATGAGGAGGATGACGAATAGTGACGCTCGTCGAATGGCGGTGGCGAGCACGCGGGAATCTAGATGGGGCGGTGTGGTGGGTAAGTGGGCCTCAAGTGAAAATTTCGTGGGCTGTGACTGGGAGGAAACGAGGCAAGTTACACCCAGCAACATTAATGGGAAAAGGACTAATAGGAACCTGACACGTAGGAGACACCGTAAAGAAAAACACATTAGAGACACGCACACGCTGGCGTGACGCAGAAGAATGACATTTTGTAGGGTTTCAAAGTTCTGGGTTTAGAGAAGAGAGAGAGAAAGGGATGTGATATTGGGGATTGAATCGATCAAGTGTTTGTTGAAGTAGTTTGGGAAGGGTTTAGATTTTGTGGTTCGAGTTTAATTGCGGTTTGTATGTATATATAATGGCCTCCGCGTCAACTACAAGTATAATAGACAACTGTAAAGCTAACGTTTTGGGAGTCATTTTGACTATATGAATATATATACAGGTTTTAATTATAAGACCCGATTTATAATTTATAAATAAAATCTTATAATTAGGACCGGAGATAATATATATATTTGGGGATGCAGGTAAATGCCGGATACATATATGCATGAATGGTGCTTTGCCCACGCTTTAGAAATTAGAGAGAAATTTGTGGAGTACCGATAATGTAAACATTTTAACTTCCCTTTCTGTCTTTATTACTACAGGAGTTAAGAGTTATAGAGTTCATTCGTTTTGGTTGCATTAATTTCAAAGAGTATGAGAATTGAAATAAGAATGGCAACTTGAGAAGTATAATTAGCGGCACTCACCCGATCCTTTTGAAACTGAAACATTCAAAAATAACTTTTTAATTAGTATTTATAAAATACAAGATAAATATGTGAGAAAATTTTGCTTTGATTTACATGAACATGCTTATAAGCACTTAATATAAGCATAAGTATGTTTTTGGGATACGCTTCACCACAGCATTTTTTGAAGGCTGGATGCAAACAATAAATACACACATATATATCCACAAAGACACATAAACATATGTAGACCTTCCTGTTTTTGTTGTCATTCTCTCGTTTTCTTTTTGTAGTTATTTGGTTCATGTATTTAAAAGTTACTTCTCTTGTCCTATTTATAAGACATTTTTAATATACTTCACACAGATCAAGAAAAATTTTAAACTACATTAACTTTATATTAAAATATAATAACTTTTCAGTTTTACTCTCATTTATTATATACACTTTTTTTAAAAAATAACTATCTATACTATAATAAATGAAAAATAAGATAATACATATATGCTTAAAATTTCATGAAATGACTTATAAATAGAATCAAGAAAAACTTTCTTTTTCTGCTTTAGAAATAAGACTAGAGGAGTAAAACACATTAATGAAAATTATATTTTAAAATGTATTTGCATTGATAAAAATTGAATTATTATACTGAAATTGATAAATATAAAATAACATTTATTATATTTCAATTACTAGCATAACAAAGTCATAGGGAGTATGAATATGATGCATCCAAGGCCACGGAAAATTTTCGACTTCGTTTGGGAAAAAGTGCTGCCTCCGGTCCTGAATATAAGATTTTTAGGACCGGAGGTAGTATATCTTTTATCTCCTAGAATTAAATCTTAACACATCATTTTTATGGAGATCAGCAGGAAGCTCACAATGTCGTTTCATTTGATGTATTTCAAATTAATTGCGAGCAAGCGGGATGAAGAAATTGCTTGGGCCTAGGTTTTGATCTTATTAGGCCTGCCTTTGTTTTTTTTTATCTTATTGGGCCAAGGGTTCCCTTTGATCCCTCGCCCGGCCCATTAATAGGAGCAAGTACCTATGCACGTGTTCTTAACCATATGGTCTAGTGACCAACAAGTGTTGGTCTAAGTAAAAAGAACTTGGGCACCGTCAATATCATGTTTTGGATTCGATTTCTGGAACGGTGTATATAAAAAAACATTATTGAGAGGGGTTCTCACTACAGCACCTGACAGTGTCCCGAGAGATTAATCTCTTACTGTTTTGATAGAAGGATACTCTGAACAACCAAAAAAAAAAGTTTAGCAGTAGAGATTAATTCTTCACAATATAGTGAACTAAGAGTCGAATCTCAACTAGAAGAGGTATCGATATTTAGTGCTCAATAGTGTTTTAAATATGATGCTTTTTTTTTTTAAAAAAAAACTATAGGGATTCATAGAAACTTGATTAAGGAATTTGCAAACGTATAATCATCTTAAATGTTATATTTATGATCCTTGAATCATTTGCAAACAAGTACCAATTGATCTCTGCTACTTAAAACCAAACAGAAAGAAATATGGATGAAGAAACATAGTTTTATAGATGATTCTTTTGTAGTCTTAAAAAAAAAAAAATTTCAGTGAAAGTACTGGTGATAAAATTATACTTGACATTATATTATGATACATGCTATTTATTACGATCCCTAACAAGTATGGATGATTTGACTGCTAAAGAAAATGAAGATAAACAAAGTTTCCTTTAATGTTTTGATATAAAATTATGAGTTCAAATTAAAAACTACCAAAATTTAATAGCAAAACTTTTGGTCTATTGAATTGTTCCCAGAATTTGATGGTTATCAGCACAAAATAAAAAAGATGGATCCGGTAAATGAAAGTTGTACTTGCGTTGCGTTGACTTGTACCTTTTTTTTTATAAAAAAATTTATTATTGTTGTAAACACTTTTGCAATAGGGAAAGCATTATTAATTGATTAATTCTCTGCGTGTCTAACATCACGCGCATGAACGTGACCCCTGCCCTAATTTATCAGTACAGTGATGATATGTTTTAATTATTGGGAAAATTATACTCAGGTCCCATAAAAGACAATTAATTTTAAAAAAATCCCTAAAAATCCCGAAATAATTTCTAAATCCCCAGAGACCTTGTGTAATTAATTATAATTGTAAAATTACCTATTTACCCCCATTAATTTGAACCAAATATAATTTATTTACAACCTCAACAGTAGCTGTTGACAACCCGAGGAGAGATGGTTAGCAACCTCGACAATGTCCCTGGCATCCCACAGAGTGAGTTGTCAAGAGCACTGCCGAGGTTGTCAACCACTTCTTCTCGGGTTGTCAACAACCACTGTTGAGGTTGTAAATAAATTGTTGTAATAAAATTAATGGGAGTAAATAAATAATTTCACCATTACAATTAATTACACACAAGTCTCTGGGGACTTCATAATCATTTCAGGATTTCGAGAGACTTTTTTAAAATTAATTGTCTTTTGTGGGACCTGAGCATAATTTTCCTTTAATTATTTCCCTATCAAAGTGGGTACTTTATTGCTTTAGATATAGTCAAAGCATATAGGTTCAAAAAAATAAAAAATAAAAAAGAGAGAAAAAGGATTTTTTTTTATTCTCTAGTCTTTTCATTAACCTTTTCTTTTCTTGGGCATACTCTGCATTGTTATATTTATTTTTTATTTTTGCTGTCGGTGTTATTTAATACACATAAATTAAATAGCTGACTTGTTCAACAAGAAAAAGTTCCAATGTTTTCGAATTAGCAAGAAAAATGTATTAATATTTTACTTATAAGCTGTTATTTGTTATTTATCACGTGAAGTATGTAAATATATATTTGCTAAAATATTATATATACATAATTAAAAATGTAATAATGTGACATATAAATATAAAAAAAATATTTTCTCTGACCAGAGGAGTGTGTTATAATAGTATCATGTTTTACCATGTCAAAGACACGCTTCTATATTTCACCAAAAGAAAAACACATTTCTATATGAAATTCTAAGTGACATTGACAATGTAATATTTAATTATTAGGTTTCAACATTTTTTTTTTAAAAAATGTATCTTTACATGGGTTTAAAGTATCGTCTTGAAATATATAATAAAATTAGGCAGCGCTTTCTTCTCCCTCCATACAATGCTAAATTGTTTAGTTTCTGTTTTCTCCGTAGATTCCACGGAAAGTATAGAACACTTCTCCCAAATACCAAGACGACTTTCATCTACCAATTGTGAGGAAGGTAGCCTTTCAGATTGTTATTTTATGTTGATTTGAATAATTCCTCTCCTGCAGCGTAGAAGAATATTTTTGTTGAAAAATAAAAATAAAGAAATCAAATAAATACAAAATCTATATATGATCTGAGAACCTTGGATTCTTCATCCACCCCTACCCTCCATTTCTGATGAATTTTAGAAAGATCGACAGAAAGTGTTCAGACTTTAGATCCTACTGTTGAAATGAAAATTATACTTCCCCGTATGATTTTTATTTAGTTTTAAATATAAAACTCCAATCTATTTTATCTCTTATATCTATCCAATTTTTTTTTTAAATAGTCCTTATAATAATATTAGTTGTAGTTAATATACTTTATAAGTAAAGATATTTTAGAAAAAATAACTACTTATTTATTACAAATAACTAATTTAATTAATTTCTTTAATCTATTCAAATTAGTCAACTAACTTTTATATTAAGGAGCGGTTTGTCATTTTAAAATATAAAAAGCAGATGTTTGTTAGGAAACTTGGCAAAATAAACTGTGGTTTCTCGATTCTGTTAAAAAATCCACATTGTCTACACAACACACATCTTATTTTGGAATCACAACAACATCAATGTTACACCGTCCGGGATTCTATACATGACTCATCAGGATTTATCAAAATCCAAATCTTCTCTTCTGGAAATATTTATTAGAGCTTGAAACTGACCGTGTCCTGGAGTTTCAGAAAGTTAAGCCAGTTTCAACCACCACTTATTGGAGGTATAATGGCCAACTCATCTCTGTCTTTGACAATGGCTGACTCCGTTGCATATTCTTCGTTCAAAGCCACAACTATGCACTCTCTTATTTCTTCCAAACCTGGAAACTTGACAAGTAGCTTTTTCAAACAGTCATGAGTAGTACTGCCGGATGAAATCTCCAATGGCAACTCGCTCAATCCCGTAATATCACGAGCTCTAGCGAAAAATAACACTTTCAATTTCACCAACTTTTCGGCTTGCATCTTGATATCTCCTTCCATTGTGTCTGACATAGTTTACACCATAACCAGCCTGAGACAAACTAATGAACAACCATTTTACATGCAAAACTGCACTGAACGCATGGTGATGATCGTAGGAACCAAGGATGATAGCTTATTAACCACCAAAATAAAATCATAATGCAGCTTCTCCGTGAAAATCTACAGCCACTAAAGGAGGGGGGGGGGGGAGTGTATGAAGCAAAAATAATAAAGGGAAAAAAATCATTTTTATCTGATCCTCAGAAGAATACATGTACAGTGGGGATACAGGTTAACGCCATCATCGAGCTCATAACTATCAAGTCTACACTAGTCCACTAGATAAGTTTTGACCATTACGAAAACAAAAATTTTGCTTTCTGTCACTTAGACAGACTCACAAGCTTCACACAGACCAATTTGCTTCAAAACTTCACATCATTTCCCCTACCAACCACTGGGGTTTTCTGCAAGAGTGATTGAGAAAATCATACCCCAAAATCTAGCTCGGAAAGTTGATGAACCTGAGGTCCTTATAAACCCCACATCAGAATCTTGTGCTTCTGATGTGTGACTCAGTTCTCATATCTTGCGGCTAGGCCCTTAGCTCGGATTGACAATCTAATACCAAATGATAAGAAACTTTGGGACCCTACACTAAGAAAACAGATTCCTGAGATTGGAAAATATTATATCCCTATGAACTCTGTATCATAAATTAATGGATTTCAGGGTAAAGTGATTTTCCAAAGCAGCTTTTGGTAGTTATTTCCGAAGGAAGATATAGAAACCAATTAGAGTAAAAAGTTGCTGCAGAAGTAAAAATACTTGTCTAAAAATTCTAGACATTAAAGTTAAATGAAGAAAATGAAGGCAGAATTCGAGTAGGAGTTCCTGAATATTAACAAGTCAAAGTGCAGGCTTTTCCTGTATTTTATAGTTGGAAACATGTAATTTATGATTACTTCAAACGCTTAATAACTTCAAGGGTACACATATCAGCACGAAGCCATTAGCTCAAAACTAAAAACAGAACCTAATGTAAAGCTTAATTCAGAAATAGTCCTTGTCATTGGTAACTAGACGATAAGACTGACTTACCACCAAGAAAATAGAAGCATTGTGAAATTACGGTTGACTTAATGATTTCGCAAAGCATGAATTATCATGTGAAATTCACATCATCAAATTAATAATACAATGTTGCAAGACTTGCGAAAAACCACTCCAAGGAATCCAAGCAGTGACAAAATATTCTTTTTTCGCAACATCGAGCGTGCAATAGATCAAAAATCAGGAAAAAGTCAGCTTTAATCAATCAGTACATAAAGTAGGGCAAACAGGAACTAACTTTATCTTTCTCATCCAATGGCAAAGAAAACGATCAGAGATTTCAAATAGATTTAAGAATTCTATTAAGAATTAAGGTGAGTGAAAAAGAGATGCTGATCCCGTCAAACTCTTACTTGTGTACCGGTGAGAGGGCGACGCCGCCGCCGACTGACCTGGACTACTATAATCGATGACTTTATGAGTTCCTCCTACTTAACCAAAGCAGCGATGAGAATCCCGATAGTCCGTGGATGATCGAGGGACGGGGGGAAAGAGTTCGAGAGGTCTGCGAATTGTGAGATTGGGATTGGCAAAGACGACTCATATTTTATCAATATAATTAATTAAATATAAATTGAATACAGTCTTTTAAAGGTGATTTAATTACTTATTTTTTTTTTCTGTTAATAGTATTTTTTTTTTTTGACCAGCAATTTTTTTCTTGATGAAACAAATTTTAGGAAAAAAATTGGTTTACCACGATCAAGGACAAGACACCTAACACTTGATCTATTAGGACTTGTTTCTACAGCCACAGGAGTATGACAAGCAAGTCTTTTTTTTTTTTCTCGTCTAATAGGTAGGAATCTCCCACTTCACTATACTGTAATGATACCTCCCTCAGCGCCGTGACTGGAACATAACAAAGTGACACTTTCAGGATCAAACCCCTTCTTTTAGTGAGAGAGTCTGACCCCTTCACTAGCTGAACTCATGGGGTTTTTTGACCCAGCAATTTGATAGTACATTTTAGTCTAATCATGAAGTATTAATCAATATGCCTTCTATTTAGAACTTCTTAGATAAAAATGTGAATTTGAATTGAATTCCTACAGATTATGAAATCACTGAAATGCTGAAAAAGAAAAGATGCTAATTTGCCGGTCCCTCAGGGTGTAACAGGGAAATCAAGTCCTCTGTTTATTTAAAATAATTTAACTAATTTTCTCTCTAAGAAAACATTTTAATATCGTTAAAAATATATTTATTAAATATATATTTTAAAAAATCTAATTAGTTACTTCTATAAAATACCGAAAATACCTTGCATATTTTAACATAAAAATAAAAAAAATCTAATAATTTTTTGATTTTATCAAGGGTTTCTTCTTTTGAGTTTAAATTGCAACAGGTTTTCTCCTCTCTCAATAAGTGTGTGTTTTTTTTTTAAGATTTAAACTTATGTTATTTTTCTTACGGAAATGAAACCTTTTATTACCCTAATTAATAACTTGTTGGTAAATATCTAATAATTTTGAATGGAAGGGATATGAGAATTTCTCTGAAGAATGTTAGGCCTATCCTCGTTCATGGTCATCGTGGTTTGATCGTAGGTGTGCCAATATGCCCATTTTTACGCTATTCCTATTTCAAAATGTTGGCACCTTATTAAATATTAAATATTTATTATTTTCAATCCATAAAAGAGGCTGGCAGGGAGAGTTGGGTTCCTACGAATACGGTCCATAGACGTTGAAGTCAACTATTTGATGGTTCATAAATACTTTAGCTTATATGTCAATATCACTTAATATTAAAAATATGAAATTTATAATAACCATTCGTTAATCGTTATGACGACGAAGTCAAGCATGCAATTCTCACGTTCACTACAGTGTACAATTTACATCAACAGTTAATTACTCGCAGCGTACGGAGGCCACCTATTTGGAAGAGGACGCGAGATCGTTTGAATCATTCCGCGCCGTTGTCGTCTTTGTCATTTCCCAGCAATTTCTGTTGGACGCGTTCCTTTCCATTTCATCACCTCTTAGTCCAAATCTTCCTCCACTCTTTCCCTTCCCTCTTCTTTGTTTACTACTCATTCCTCACTCATGTTGACTTCCTTAGCTCCTTCTCTGATCTCCATCACTTCGCTTCTCTTCATTTCACAGCTCATTTGAGCGCAAATTCCGTGACTTCTTCAACTGGGTTCCTGGGTTCTTGATCTGGTTTGTCTGTCTTTTCACTGCCCGAAAAATCTGTATTTTTGTCATGGGGTTCAGATAGCAGGGGATGACGAAGCAATTTGGGTTCGTCAAGTTTTAGTGTTTTGGATTATGTTACTTTGATCGTTCATGGCTTCGTTTATGAGAAAATTGCGACCTGGTGCGTCTTCAACAATTCGCGATGAAAGCGATGATTCTAGCTATGAGTACTCATTTGCAACAGAGTACAAGGGCCCTATTCCCAGTTTCTCCATCCCTCAAGCAACCCCTTTTAAAATTGAGGGAATTCCAGTTGCTTCCATAGCTTCTTCTTCAGCTGATCAAATTTCCGTGCCAGTTATTCAACCTATTGTGAAATCTAACATACAGCTGAAACTTAATAGAGGTGTCCTTGTTTCTGCAAATTCAAAATCTCCTGCTATTGAATTTGCTATCTCCGGCTCTGCTGAGTCAACGAAGTCCCGCTCTTTGCGAGTTAGGGTGGATACAGTAGATAGGATAGATAAGTCAGGCTCATTAGACAGAATTTATGATGCTAATAAGTGCAGAGCAGAAAATACATCACAGGAACTTCAGACTTCTGGGTCCTTTGGAGTTTCTGGTTGGGGTGAAATTGTTGAAGAGACAACTAAAAGTGAGTTGAATCCCACCAATTCAGATACTGCAGAGTCAGGCTCGAGCTCTGGCTCAGCTTCTTCAGACATATTTTCATGCAGAGAAGACGACTGTAACAATGTCGCACCGGTACATGTCAATCGGCCCTCGTTTGTGACTTTTATTAGTTCGGAAGAGTCATATGACACAACAGTCAATGAAAACTTTGGTGGTTCTGAGGTTGCGAGCATCCCTGTGAAGCCACATGCTGAGAGAACTGGGAAGAAAGGCACATGCTATAGATGCAACAGAGGAAATCGATTCACTGAAAAGGAGATTTGCATCGTGTGTCGTGCTAAGTATTGCCGATACTGTGTTATAAGAGTCATGGGGTCTATGCCTGAGGGAAGGAAATGTATCAATTGTATTGGTTACAGAATTGATGAAAATATGAGGAGAACCCAGGGAAAGTGTTCTCGTTTGCTCAAACACATGTTGTCTGATGTGCAAGTGAAACAAATAATGCATGCTGAATTGAATTGTGAAGCTAATCAAATGCCCCCAGAACTTTTTTTTGTGAACGAGGATCCTCTTGACCGAAGCCAGCTAAAGCTGCTGCAGAGCTGTAGCAAGCCCCCAAAAAAGTTGAAACCAGGCTCCTATTGGTACGATAAAGCATCAGGATTTTGGGGAAAGGTAAATACCATCCTTCTTAAGTTCTTATCTTGTTAATCTTCCTGGTGATCAAACTTTGTGAGGTTAAGTTCCTCAGGTTTTATTGTCCATGCCTTAACAATTGAAACTGAAATTTGTTGAACTGCAATCTAATAGGATGGTCAAGGGCCTTGGCAAATTATTAGCCCACGGCTGGATGTTGGAGGTCAGCTACAAAAACATGCAAGCAAAGGAAACACAAACGTGTCAATAAATGGCCGAGAAATAACGGCAAAAGAGCTCCAGATGCTGAAGGTTGGTGTGTACTGTGAACAACCATAATTAATTGAGGTTTACTGAGCATATTGAATCATAGTATGTACTGTTTGTTTACAGATAGCAGGAATCCCATGTGAAGGAACGCTTGACTTTTGGGTTAGTGAAGACGGGTCCTACCAGGAAGAGGGGCAGAGGAATGTCAAAGGGCGTTTATGGGATAAGGTGATCAGCGTGTTGATTGATCTTGTCTTTTATTCTCCCAGATTTTTTGTTATATCATTCATCAATGATTGTGTGTGTATTCTTTTACAGAAAAGAGTGAGGATAGCTTGTGCCTTTCTGTCTCTGCCATTTCCTTCCAACCCCATAGCTGCTAGCGGTGAAAGCGAAGGAGGAGAGAATAGAAGCAGAGAAAACCTTGTACAGAAGAAGCTTTACAAGTTTCTTCTTGTTGGTTCTATAAAATCTGGAACAAGTACTATAGTTAAGCAGGTAGGAACAAGAACACTACTGGGGGGAACTCATTTTTATTGCACTCATGCTGTTCTGACATTCCTGCACTGTTAATGGACTAAAGACAAACAGTGATGTTGATAAGCTGAATAACTTGTGCTGTGATTGTAAACATGAAATTTGGCCTAATTCTTGTATTACTCGTTCCTCCTGTGATCATCCCAAACAAAATGAAGATAAAGGTACTGTACGTTGATAACTGTTACACACCTTAGGTCTTCAACATACTTGATTTTTATCAGTCGGCTAAAGTATACTTTTAGTACTTTAATTTTATATAAGGTTTCATTTTGGTCCTTAACTTTAAAAAGTAAACTTTTAGTCCTTTAACCCTAAAATCATTAACAAAAAATGATAATATTGAGCTCTTAAATGTTGATAAAACATTATTAAATACTAATATATTAAGTTTAATTTTTAAAATAACCATCATTGTTGCAAAAAATTATCATTTAAGATTAACAATTTTAATGTCAAATGACTAAAAGTGTATTTTTTGAAATTAAGAGACTAAACTAAAACTTTACATAAAGTTAAAAGACTAAATATATACTTTAGCCTTATCAGTCACATCTCACATTGCTAGTTGCCCTGGCTGGTCAGATGATAAGCTTTGTGCATGATCCATATTTTGAGAATTTCTTCTGATGCACACTCTATTTTGTCAAACTTTGGTACTTCTTGCCTTTTATTGCGTATGGTTGAGAAATGGACAACCCTTAAGCTTTTTAAATAGTCCTTGATTTATAGTCATCTTAGAAGACTGAATGTTTGATCTCAGGCCAAGCATCTGTATAACATTCCTTTCTCTGAAGAAGAACGCCAAAATATCAAGTTGGTGATACAAAGCAACTTGTATACATACCTTGCTATACTGCTGGAGGGGCGTGAGACTTTTGAAGAGAGTTTGTTGGAGAAAAGGAACCTACAGATCGCTGATGAATCCACTTCAGCAGGTAATTTTTTCCCCTAAATGAAAGTTAACAGAGATTCTGTTTTGACCAAATAACTGGTAGCATTTGCTTGACCCCTTCCCCTTTGCAAACCAGTAAATATCATAAAGTAAGCCGGTTTGATCCATTCAAGCGCTCTCTCGGCATTGTTGATAACATGAATGGGAGATCCATCAGATGTTCTGTGATTTCCCCCATTTTGCAGCCAGAGAAATTGATTAATGCTGTGTAGTTACCTGCAAACAGCGAAGCATATATGACATTTCTTCTTTTTTGAGCTGAATGCTTCTGACTACTTCAATGCCATCGTGATGTCTTAAAGCTTCAATATTGGGACACTCTAAGTTCCCTTTCACCATGCTCCTGCATAAAGATATCTCTTTGTTAATTAACTTAAAAGAAAAGTTCGTCTGCCATTAACTGGGAGTTTATTATGGAGACAAGTTATTAAGTTTATCTAGCAACAGGGAACACTGGCGAAACTACTTATACAACAATCTATTCCATGGGCCCAAGACTGAAAGCTTTCTCAGACTGGCTTATCAAATACATGGTTTCGGGTAACTTGGATGCAATATTTCCAGCTGCTACTCGTGAATATGCACCACTTATAGAAGAGTTATGGGGGGATGCAGCCATTCAGGCAACATACAACCGGAGAAATGAACTAGCTATGCTACCTAGAGGAGCAAGTTATTTTCTAGACCGGGTAAGATATTGTTTGGTTTTAAACCTTCTGCTCATATCATTTATGCTTGCCGAACGTGAGGGTTTCTGACAGAACCCTTTCCTAAACAAGCTTATAAACAGAGTAAAAACCAAAAATAAATAACACAGAATGGGAATACTTTGATATTAATATATTACAACACAACATATAACCAACAAAAGATACAATACACTCGGACACAACTCTCACAACGCACAAGACAATACACAGGATAGGAACTCTAGAACACAGACACAAACTTGCCAAACTTTCGAGACGTTGGCTCTCTCTCACCCCAACGGCCAAGACCACAATTCAAATTCTTCCCTCCTCTATTGCTCAACCAAAAGGGAAGATTTATAGACCCAAAAATGACTTTCACAGCCCCCAACTCATAGACCTTGACTGTAGCAGTCCCTTAGCTACTCTACTCTCTACTTCTTTTTTCAAAATAGCAAGTCAAATTTCTGCCCAACAAAAGTATTTTTCTCCTTTTATGTATCTTCCTAGGGATCTAAAAGTAGTCCTAACAGATTCCAAGTGTTGATATTAATGCAGAAAGGTTGAGTTTTGAAGATGTTCAGATTTCTATGTTGTTGCATTTTTTTTCTGGTTAGTGTTTGGATGATTTATTTGACACAAATGAGAAGATCAAACGGAAAAAGAGAGATCAACTAAGTTAGCGTTGAAATATGAGTTCATCACTGCATTAGTTTAGTTTATATTTTGGACTTTGGATTATCATTTAGGCATGCAAGTGTCTGAATCAATTATGTATATGATGGCATTGAGATAATGTGAACCCAGGTAGAGGGGAAAATAACTTCAATTTATAGTTCTACAATGAAGGATTTTAATGTCTCAACAAGTTGAGATAATTATTTCCTTTTTTTGTTGTTCAAAATTATTTGGATATGAATATATAAGGCTCATCAAATTACTTCAGAAAAGAAGACTAGCTTATGATCAATGTCTAAATAAATCTCTGGATGGCAGGCTGTTGAGATTTCCAAAGTAAACTATGAACCCACAGACATGGATATCATGTATGCTGAAGGGATAGCGTTATCCAACGGCCTCACCACGGTGGAATTTTCATTTCCCAGGACAAATTCCGAGGAAAATTTGGAGCCTGAGTATCAGCATGATCCTTCTCTCACGTAAGTTTTCTTATTTCATGCAATTTTAGTTGTGACCCATAAATGCTTAATCTTTATTTTGAGCCCAAACCTTCTGATCATCTTAGCTTCTGGGTGATGCCCTGAATCGTATTTTAGTTCAAATCAAGAGCTTTCAAACATCACCAAGCATTAGAATGCATGAAAACAATTTGTTTATAGACAAAAACCCCATTTTGATACTTGAAACACTACTGCCACCAATTTAATACTTCATTGCACACGAGCAATGATTTCCCTAATATGCTCCTTAATTCCCCACAGAAGAGACCTTTATTTTTCATATGCCAAGTTTTTGAGTTCAAATTATATGGTTCAGACAAGCTGTGAGTTGATTTTTCTTTTGCACTCCAACTTTACCTGTAGGTACCAACTAGTTAGAGTACATCCAAGAGGCCTTGGAGAAAACTGCAAGTGGCTTGATATGTTTGAAGACATGGATGTTGTCTTGTTCTGTGTCGCCTTAACTGATTATGATGAGTATACTGTAGACAGAAATGGAGCTTCTACCAACAAAATGATGGCAGCTAAGAAACTATTTGAAAACATAATCACTCATCCTTCCTTCTCTAACAAGAAATTCCTTTTGATTCTGAACAAATTTGATCTGCTCGAGGAAAAGATCGAACAAATACCTCTAGAACGATGTGAATGGTTTTGTGACTTCAATCCAGTGATCAGCAAGAATCAGAACCGAGTCAGTAATTATACTAATAGCCCTCCATTAGCTCAACGTGCCTTTCAATACATTGCCATGAAGTTTAAGAAACTGTTCTATTCTCATACAAGCAGAAAGCTATTTGTTTCAGCGGTAACTGGGTTGGAACCCGATACTGTTGATGAAGCTCTCAGATATGCAAGGGAGGTTATGGTATGGGAAAAATGGGATCCTTCAGTCACAGGCGAGAAGTTTGAGAATACTTCAACATCTTTTGATGAGATTGAGTCAAGCTCCTGATGGTTCTCCAGTCCATAAAGTTTTCTTGTATAGAAATGAGTAAGTTGGAAGAATCAAGAAAGAAGATTAAGATAGTTCTGAACTGCTGTCATAGAGTTACAAAATTCTTTGTACATAACAAACCATAAAAGATGGGGGGCATAGAGAATATCGTCTTTGAATTCGATATGAGAGGACAAAAGATTTTTATTATTTTATTCTCTTTATTCTCACATGCTAAGCTGCAATAAATATCCATACACAAGAGGTTCCCCCCCCGCCCCTCACCTTTTTCTAATTGGTAAAAGTGGTTAATTTAGTCGTTGTCTGTTCAAAATTGCCTTGACCAGTTAGCAGCTGAAACATGATATTTTTCTCGAAAAATATCTCGATGAGAAAATCCTGCGCCACTATTCTCACTTCTCCGAGACCCTTTCGCTGTTTTGAGTTGGTGTGTCGTTGTCATGGTTTGGAAGGGATGAAGTAAACTTCCTCAAGAGGCTCGTCCATGTCCTGTATTACTCTGATATGAAGTTTCTACTGCTCATACTCTTAGTTAATACCATCTCTGGCCTTAATTATAGGACATTATTTGTAGACTATAAATTAGATGAGAAAAAAATAATTTATTCTTCATTTATTTTGTGTTGATTTTGTTTTCATGAAATATAATATGTATTAAATATGGATAAAGTTAAAAAGTTGTTAAATTTTAAATAAAATATTTTTCTTAGTTTGTGTGAAGTATGTTGAAAATGATTTATAAATAAAAACAGAATAGTAATTAAAAAAAGGCTTGCTCAAAAAATAATGTAAACTCTAGTTCGAGCTTCCAAAAGGTTTTTTTTTAAGTAATTTTTTTTTAGTAAAGCTCCCAAAAGTTTAGCCTAGCCTTTTTGCAATAAAAAAGAGTTAAATTATTTTTTTAAGAGACCCCTAAACTCGAAATCATACATTTTTCTTCAAATATAGAAACCAATTCAACACATATTTTTTCCTTTTGCTTTGAGTATCACATGGTTTTTAAAGTTATAAACTTCAGTACCACATAGTTTTTAATGTAATAAATGTGCCCTCATCAACCCATGGTTTTGCCGGACACCACATGTAAGGAAATGATACCATACCTGCCGGTGTGGCTTCTTGTTTAAGATGTGGCAAATTGTCTTTCACAAATAACAGAGGTTGTTCTTTCGTTATTTAATGGCAAACTTCCTTCCCCTCACCTAGATTCAAAAATAAATTAAAAAAGATAAAAAGAACAAAGAAAAAGGAGGATTAAACTAATGTTAGAAAAAAATAATTAACACCAAGCCTTATTAACAAGTGTTAAAGACTTATTATTATATACTGTTTTGTAAGATTTTTAAGTAATTACTCTTCTCATTTGAAATTTCATAAAAATTCTCGAGAAACGGGAAAGCAGTAAAAGCCACTCGTTAGATGTCCCTGCTGGGGGGGGGGGTTCATCATCACTATTCACTGCATTTTCAGTGCTTCATTGGAAGCCTCGGGTTCTTGAGACGTGAGCAAGAAATGGCAAGCGCAGTTTATGCAGCGAAAGGAAAAAAAAATCTTAAATTTTTCTCGATCAAATGAGTTGAAATTGATTCCCTTTTCGCTCTTCTTGGGTACTCAATCAAAATAAAGGAGTTTGGTCAAATTTTCCAAGTGCTTGCCGTTTCTGATAAAACACGAGACACAGAAACCTTGTTTTGAGGGATCAATCTTGCAATATCGAACTCTTTAATAAAAGTAAGAACCGTGCCAAGTTGGGAAAAACAAAAACATACCCAGTTTCCTGTCATTCGCCTGCAAAATTTTCAAAGAGCCCAGAAAAAAATCAGAGACAGAAAGATGTAGCAGATGAGGCAAAAATACTTTTTAAAACAAACTTCTTCTTCCTAAAGCTATGGCAGAATCTACAATTTCCATTAATTACACGGGCTTCAAACTCATTACACTTTCCTAGATCCAAAGAAAGAGAAACGCAAACATAGGTACATAAATAGATACATATAAACAGAGGATCCCTACAAAGACGTGTATGTATAAAAATCAGCAAGGAGCGAAGCGATCCATGAGCAAAGAGATAGTGGATTCAGACATCTCGACGGGTGGGGTGTTCTTAAGAATAATCACTCGACTAACTTGATTAATTATTGTTCTTACATTAACTGAAATAACAGTAAATTTTCATTAATCAAAATTTAATTAGTTAATAATATTATTAAAATTGAGATGTAATATGACAAACAACTCAAAAAAAGCTACCCATCCTGGGTTCTTTCATTTACCAGATTTATTTATTTTTAATATTTAAAGGTGCACATAGATTAAAAAAAAAATTATTGTGTGCGCGTGTGTAAAGGAGAGGGAAATTGTGAGAGAGAGAGAGAGAGAGAGAGAGAGAGAGAGAGAGAGAGAGATATGCGTGCCACATAAGGAAGAGGATATCCTCTCACCTCTCATACACAGTTTCGTATATTCGTTGGGCGATTTCTATTGGCGGCTTTCGTGGTGGATCTCTTTTCAATTGATAAATTACCCTATTAGTAATTATTAATAATACGACTTTTTTTTTTAGATTCTATCCAACATATGAATCCGGATAATTTTTTATTCGATATTATCATTATTATTATTATTTCCATGTATTATGTTTATTGAATACAAATAAAAGATCCAAAAACCTTGTTTTGATTTGGTTAAAAATAAAAAGAAATTAAAGAAACAACCTGTTTGGCGATGATTGAGGCGGATGGAGGGTTTTGAAAATCATGGGAAAAGATAATTACACAGAAGCTTCTATCCATTTACTGTGACATAGTATCTTATAATTGGATTTCATTTTATTCTTTCACGACACCTGTTTGAACTTGAAGACTGAAGAAAATTACGCTGTAGAGACTTTTGCAAGATAAATCAAGAATATTCCATTTTTCAAGTATCAAAATATTTAAGAAATAATTAAAGATGATACGTTGATATATGATGCCAGGAACCTTCACATAAAAAAAACGAATTGTGAGCACCGTGAACTTTAGTAATAAAATGATTGAAATGTTACGATAAAGACTGGAAATAATCTCAGTCAATTTGTGTTTAATTTTTAACATAATAACATCATAATATATTGAATTTTCAATTAAACAATAACCATATCATTATAAATTGTTTTGAAAATGTATTCATTTTTTCATATGGTCATTTTTTTAATTTTTCAATCGCGTTTTAAATTTTTTTAGCATTTTTTCCATTAGGCCAAAAACTTAGCTAGCCTAAGCCTGGTCTAATACGATTCAACCATGAAAATATGGTTTTTTGTCATTAAGAAGAAATAGGGTTCCCAAACATCTAATAATATAGAAATTTTTATTTAACAGGTGCCTTGGAATAATTTTGTTACATAAAGACAATGCGTTATAATGGAAGAGAGAGAGAGATGAATAATGAGAAGTGTGAAAGAAGAAAAAGAAAAGTGAATATGTGAACGTGATTGGGTGTGATCGATATTGACAATGTGAAATGAAAAGCTTGTCTCAATATAGCCGCTACGGGTGTGTTTGGATGAAACTAAACCGTGGTTTGGAAAAGTGATTCTGGAGAATAGATTCTGGAAAAAATAGATTCTGTGAAGAATAGATTTTGTAAAAAAGTGATTCTGAGAAGTGAGAGTGTTTGGATAGTTGTTATCAGAAGCACTTTTTATATATACAAATTACTAAAAAAAGACATAAGTTAATATGATAATTACAGAAAAAATAGATTTTATGATATATTTTAATTTGAAGAAATAAAATTGTTAATAATATGTTTTTTACCAACATAATTAATAATACATAAGATAATATAATTAATAAATAATTAATGTCTATATATATTTATAAAATATAAGATTAAATATATTTATAAAAAAATATGTTTATAAAAAAAATAACAAGATACATATCATATAGGCCCTCACACTCTCCCTTTTTTCTCCAAAAGCAAAAAATTTTGCTTTTTCCAAAACCATGGTTTTGGAGTCAAAACCATGGTTTTGACCCAAAACCATGGTTTTGGTTTTTGGAGAGGCTGTTTGAGTAGCATTTTCTCTAAACCATGGTTTGGGTCCCCAAACCATGGTTTGGGGTGCTATCCAAACAGAGCCGTATGTCATTTTGAACCCAGTTTCTGAGAAATTTCAAAACGAGACCAAAGAGTGCCGAGCAATTAAATGCTCCCAGGAAAACTCGAAGACCAGATCCATTCTTTTACGAAATGTTTTGTAAAATACAAGTTTCAATCTTGCTATCAATATATATTTTCAATTCTTAATATATAAAACCTACTTGATTTGGATTGGTTAATGAAGTAAAATACTTTAGTTAATCTAAGTTTCTACACCAGGCGTAGGATGAAATGTATACTAAGCGGTTTTATTGATCAAATAATAAAGTCTGTCATACTTTCACGAATTTTTTGGGTTAGATATATGTATCATACTATTTGAGACAATCTTGTTCAAAATACTATCGGGTATTAAATTTATATATCTATTTTAATAGGAATTTGAATTTTGATTTTTCATCTTTCTGCTAAACTCAACTCTTCGCATTCGTTTTCAACATTTTTAAAATTCGAACCATCCAGACTTTTCTCGTACGGTCCAGATTTATCAGATCAGTTGTTTTTTTGAAGTTGAGATGAGATGCATTGGTCACAAAAGTCCAGAACTGAACTTGTCCCCAAAGACAAATTGAGGATTCTTGGTGTGTTCACGGAGGAGGAGGAGGACCCAGTTTTGCTTTCCTGCGTGCGGAGTTTGAAATTTCAAAGTCTGCTCCGGAGGATAAGAAAGAAAAACATCTGGCAGAATCCGCGCAATAAAAGATTGTAGAATATACTTACACCAACTCGGATTCTAAATATAAGAGTTAGTTAACTAATTTAAGTAGACTAAAAAAATAAGTTAAGTTAGTTATTTGTAATAAATAAGTATTGTCTTTCCTTAAATATCTTTGTTAATCAAGTGTATTGGTCAGAACTATCATTATTAAAAGAACTATTTTAGAAAAAAAATATAAACATGAGAGACAAAGTGGATTGAGATCTTATATTTAGAATCAAAATAAAAATCAAACAAGTCTTATATTAAGAACCGGAGGTAGTATAAAGCAATGTTTAATTATAAAATTGGTTTTATAAATTTTTATAAGTAATTTCGGAATTTTTGGTTTAGCTTGTTAGAGTTATAAAAAGTTATTCCAATGTAGATGATGTTTTTTTTTTAATAGTAAAGATGAGAATTTGAATACTCTTCCGGTGTGTGTATAAGGGTCTTATATTTAGGACCGGATGAGTATTATAAAAAAATTACCTCTAATTGGGTGTACACTTATAATACTTGAATTTGATTCGCTAAATCTAAATATTTGGAAGCTTAATTTTATGGCTTTAAAAAAGTTTCTTTTTGGCTAAAACGGATTGGAATTTCATTTTTTATCATACTTGAACTATTATGTGTAAGTTTTGAAGTTTATGTGTTGATTTTGTAACTCTTTTTTTTTTGGCTGAAGTTGACTTTGTAATTAATATTAAATTCAATTTAGAAGAAAAATGTAACTTTCTTTAAAAAATATTTATTTTGGTTATGCAATTTATATCACCCACCAAAAAACCAAAATTCTAGCATATATGTTTTAAAATTAACATATATCAATAATAAGCAATCCGTTTGATGGCTTTCAACAAGTTCATAAAGCAGGATTTTCAAATAGTTGAAGATCCAACACGTATTGGCACCTTTTTGAGTTCCCAATTGCTTGCCATAATCCTATGACCGCTTCAATTCACCAAAATTAATCACGCGATCGTGATCACATACCAACATTAGATCCAAAACCCTGTCTTAAAAAGAGAGGTGGAATTATATATATATATATATATATATATATTGTATTAGAATTTTTTTTTCTATTCCTCATTCCTATCTTAAAAGAGAGGAGGAATTATATATAGTTCTCCTCTCTTTAATATAAAACATATTTAACTAATTTGATTAGATTAAGAAAATTAGTTAAATTAGTTAATTATGAAAAATATGACATATTTTTCCTAAAACACCACAATCATCTTTTTAATATTCCTTCTTCCTCTTCTACTTGATTATGGTTGAGGGGAGTATTTATAGAGATAATTTAGAAAAAATTAATAAATATGAGAAATATGTCTTACATTTAAACCAAAATCACTCAACAATTAAATCATATATTAAAGACCAGAGGAGTATATATATATTGTATTAGAAATTTTTTTTCCTATTCCTCATTCATAGGTTTGGAAGCTGAAAGTTCGGACAAGCCCAATGAAAAATGCATGTATGTGATCATTAACACTGATATAAAAAAAAAATCAGAGATCATAACTTTCCTTTTCTTTTCTTTTTCAATTAGGTCATAACTTTCGATCATGTACTAAGCAAAAGCTAATAGCTAGAAGTGGGGAGTAGATTGCTTATGAAGCTTATTTATGGATATATGAGTGGCAAGATCACCAACAGTTTACCCTCAAAGTGGAAAGAAATTCTTCAATTAATTTCTAATAAGATGTTTTAATGTTGGATTTTCTTTTGTGACCTTATATTGAAAGATAAGCACTCTTTCTAATCATACAAGAGTTAGACGGACATCAACCAAATAGTGGACCAAATATTTCCCCATTGAATATTAACACTCAATCCGGGAAATTTTGAATTGACATTGGGCCAAACACGTGTGAACCTCTTTTTGAATTCTTTCCCTTTTTAAATTAGTGATCTTTATCTTCAAAGTCACCAGACAAAAACTGGTGCATGTCAACTCTTTCTTCTCTCATTCATGATCGCATTATTTCATTCTTGTTTCTCAAGAAGCTCCTATCATTCCCTCTCTTTTCTATCACAATCCATTAATATGAACGCATCACAATCCATTACTATTAATGCTTTAATGGGGTTGTTCGAGCTTAACAATGATAACTTAACCTACCTTTAACATTATTTATGTTAGACCTTATCCATTCAATAACACTACACAAAAATAAGGAAAAATTTTGGATTGATTTTTCATGAACACGTACGCGTGAATCTGTCTTTGAATTCTTCGGTTTCTCGTAATTAAGAAGATGTTTTCTTAAAAAGTAGTAAAGCCTAAAACAAGCCAAGAGAATTCACTTGCAATCACTCCACACTACAAACTTTAAGCATATGTATAGATATTTATGATACAGAGTTATAGAACAATAATATCTATATCTGCGCTCTGATCTTCCAACCGTTACATATGTATGATACAGAGAAACTGCAGTCGCTCAGAGATCACATGAAAGAGTGATTGAAGAGAGAGTTTGTTTGTTCTCTGCAACTTCTCATTAAGGGCTAAAACAACTAACGAGCAAGGAAACTGAATCCTCAGAAAAGAGCAACCTAGGCTTGTTGAGGTGGTCAAATTTGCCAGCAGCCACAGCCAAAGCAATAGAGCTCATCTTCTCCTTTTGTTGTTGTTTTGCAGACTCATCAGCTTCCATGTTGGTGGAGCCATGACTAGGAAACACGGCCTCACCCTTCTCCTTCAGCTTCGCCTCGTTGGTCCACATATCAATCAGGCCAGACATGTTAAGTGAGGATACCTCACACTGCTATGTTACTATCGACGTACAGTGGGATGGTGAATGTGAAGGGAAAAATTCCCACTTTGGGTTTTTATATAGAAGAAGATGATCATGGAGAAAGTCGGTCATGGGGATAAGGGAAGACAGTGGGGTCCACATACTTTGGGTCTGTCTGTGTGCTTTTGAAACCATGGCAGCAAACAGGAACTGGTTCAATCATTTAATTTGATGACACGACTAGTGATCTTTATCTCTAGAAGTCACCAGAGAAAGACCAGCGTATTGCAAAACAGCTGCAGGGAGACCATGGTTTGGTGTCCTTGTTTCAAAGCGAAAGGACCTGAATCTGAGAATCCAATTTCATCATCATTATCATCATTATTATTTTAAGTCTTATAATTCTTTTAAAAAATTATTACTCAAATATACTTAGGATTTTTAAAATTTTCAACAGACACATTTATGTCTCTGACATATTTTAAAATTTGTGCATAGATTATTATATCTGACAATGAAACAACCGTTGATTTCGGTCCCAAACAAATAAGATATCTATCTAATCGGTGCACTTAAATGCTGATACAGAACAGGCCCTTTTATTTATAAAAAATCCCGAGGATAACCAAACATGTCACGTGCACATATACATACGTAGTTTCATATAGACAGGGTGGGACGAGAATTTTGTAGCATACATTGAAGGGTATTCTGAGATTGCATTTCTCAAAGGAATATTAACTGCCAAATCCTGTCTTGAGTGAGATCGATGACGTCTAATAGAAGAAATCTATAAACCAGAAATGTGCAGCTGATTCTGTAGCCTCTCCTGATGAATGGATCCGCTGCTCAACCGTAGATTTTCACGAGGTATTATTGATCCAGCAAGAAAATGTGCCTTGGACAACACGCAGGTCAATGAGAACTCAACCCTTCCCGTTGAACGCAATATTCAAAACATTACCCTTCAAATTGACACCGACGCAAGGAATGGGCGGACAAATCAGCAGCGCACAGCTTGAACCGGTGAGGGCATGCCAATCCCTTTTCATCTCCCATTAATTCAGCCTCAAGCCTTGAATTTTTCAGCAGCATGTCCTGAGATAATGCAAGTAAAATCATATGCACCGTCTGGACTTATCTGCCTATATAATATTGAAATTTAAAGGATGGCAGGAGCGAGACATACAGTTAGGCTGAGGATAAGCACCGACAGTGATCGTTGGCGGCAGGCTACTACTGGATATGGCCAGGCCAATGAGGGCTGGTAAGACGGGGCTTTTGTGGGTTCATTACCACATGCAAAATATCAGACCGAAGGATCTATTCCCCGCCATGAACAAACCCAACAAAGCCTAAGGTCACTCTTTGCATGATATGGGGACGGTGCTTAAGTTCAAGATGCTCAAGTCACAGGGCGCTCAAATCCATGGTGTCCAGCCTTCATACATGTTGCAAAGATTATCCACACTAGTAGCTTGCTTCAGTAGATAATCTACTTGCTCCGCGATACTAATTTCTCTGAAATACAGCGAGAAGTCACTCAGTACCAAGAGTAAATTCCAGGCAGGTTTTGTAAGTTCCAAAACTAAGAATACCTGTTTTCAGAAATATCTCGACCATCTATTTTCATCTCCACTCGCTTCAACACTGACAATGCGTATGCATTTTTACCTAGCATTGAGCACAAAAGTCAAGCAACAATGAAGCATCAATTGAATACTGAACAGAAAATGACCAAGATATAAGGGAGGACTCGTGGGTGTCAAAGATTTCTTATTGTTCCCACCTTTCAGTGAGGTGAGGAATAAAAAAAAGTCTAAGATAAGAATGTGTTAGTAATGACACCGACCTACAAAGCTAATTTACAATTAAGAATCTGTACAAGATATATGACAACTATGCAAACACTAGAATATCCATATAGTAGTTCAAGAGTATCTTTTGACATCAAAGTATAATGTAAATGACAATCTGTAGACGTATCAAGTACCTCTTCCCACTCGACTCTTGGCACTTGAGTTAGGCTCCAGAGCTTCATGATGTTCAGTATCATTCTTATCTTTATTTGAGGAAACTGGCTCAGCTCCACCCTCAGACTTCTGGACGCTCTCATTTAGAGTATTCAGGGTATTACTAGGGGTGGTCAGAGATTTATCAAATAGCAAGGCAGAACCATCAGCGTGAGAAATTGAAGCAGAATTTGAGATTTCTTCATTGGCATTAGGCTCCATGGATTTGAATTCTAAAAGCTTAGAAGATGAGATTTCTTCACCATCAGTGTGAGAAATTGGACCAGAATATACATGATCAGAGGGATTTCTACCATTAGAGTTCTGAGAAAGCAGTTCCTTAATTTCTGTTGAATCATTCAAGCTATCTGGGAAACTAGCTTCAGTTGATGTAATGCCAGATCCGGAGCTGCTACAGTAAATGCTATCAGGTGGAGATATCCATCCTTTATCTTCCAAAGACAGCTGAGAAAATCCAATGACATCTTCATTACCACCACCATCAGACTGGGAGAGATTCTCCCCTTCCTTGCTATCAAACTCAGCAGCATCACCACCGGCAGGATCTGATCTTGGGAGAGCAATATCCTGTGATTCTGCTTCCTGGCTTTCTCCTATTCCTTCAAGAGCCTGACAAGCAGAGCATAAACAGAAATTAGTCCAGCAAAAGTGACTCAGCAGGAGAAAGTTTGTGCAGAAGATCTCACATCCAAGTTAAATTTTATATTTTAATACAAAATATATCAGGAAAACAAGATCTTGGAAATGTGACATTACTTTATGAAGAGTTCCAGCATGGAGACTTGCTGTTCTTCCTAGCCTAGTCAACATGGAACAGAGTCCCTTAACAGCTGATGTCAGAGATGGTACCAAGGGCTTAAAGGTCTGATATGCCTCTCTGATTCTTAAACAATAAGACTGGTATATAGCTTGTCCATGAATATGTGATATTTCCTTCTTGGTCTCTCTTTCTCTGGCAATAGCATCAGTCATAGCAGCTACATCCTTAGAGAGCACCGATTCAAGGGGAAGAAGGATAGCATTCGCCTACCATAACACAAGCCACCACAATACAAATTTGACGTTAGGAAGGATAAATGTGAGAATGCATCCAATATGCCATTATAGCTAAAAATGTAATCTGAGAAACAAGAGAAACCTTTGATAGGTCTTCCATAAGGGAAAGGTGAATAGCAGCAGCCTCCTTTCCGAGATTGTAAACATCATGTATATCTTCAGTTATAGCTAAAACCTAAAAAGCCAAAATAACAACTCATCTTTAGACCGCAGTTAATTTGCTTGAACTTTTTATACATTTTCAAGACTCAATAGATATACAATGACAACTAAATAAAAATTCGCATTATGATATCAGGTCTCTAGGTCCAACTTAACCAAGTAAAGCACTTCACTGATATGGATAACCTGAAAAAATATTAACCTGGAAACCGCATAAGAGTATCTAATCTAACTTTTTAATAGCTTTACGAACAATATTTTGCCAACTATGGCGACTGGAAATGACAGTTAATATGAACCTTTTCCAAACATGTATATCACGCGTTTATTTCAGGGTGTCAATTTAGTGCTGCAAGACGTTTCAACTGCACGAGTGAGTGAACAAAATAAAGGCAAAACGACAAGCCTCACCATCACAAAAATATATCTTCATATGCTATGCTTGATGATGTGAACAATTTAGGTCAGATTAAAAAATAAAATATAAACGATGATAACAGACAATCCCAAGTCATAGATCAGGAATAATACAGGAAAACTTAAAATCGGACATCCTGGAAGGGATTGACTGACGATATGAAGATAAGGCCCAATACATCTAGTCTAAACATAATATAACCTCTAAAACATTAATTGAATGTCCTACATGTGCCACAGCCCCTGCCTCCATCACAATATAGAGCCATATTGTGACTTTGAGATTGGATTTTGACATTTACAACCCATGAGTGTCCATAAATAATCTGGAATAAAGTTTGAAAGCATACTTCTCATTAATATATGACATCTTTGAATACAATACCTCTTCAAGCATAGAACCGCACTCCGAGGTCAAAGCTGTATGGATCCTTGAAATCCGAGAAAAAGAAGTCAGCGCAACACTAGCCTCATAAGCACAATCCCTCATTAAAAGAACAGTGCTTTGTAGATCACCTTGGAGATAAAAAGAACATATTAAAGCAACACATATAGCTACTATAACAATAACACCACATACAAAAGAAACTAGCATATGCATGTATGGTCCCTAGTTAAAGGAGTACAGACAAGTTAAAAAAAAAAAAATCATGTCTATATTTGACGTGTCAAACACTCATCAAATATGACGTGGCTTGTTGCCATTTTTAGGACTGTTCGATGGACACATTAGTGGGATGGGGAACCTACCACAAAAGCTAGTTGTTAAGATTGGACAACTAACCCACTTAAATATTTTATTGAGCATCTTATTCTACTCAATGTAAGACTTGGTATCCCCATACTACTAAGTCTTCATCAATATAAGTATCCAGGCCTCAAGGTTTTGCATATCCAAAACCAAGGTTCCTGAACAAACTTGAAAGGGCCCAGAAATGGATTTTACTACTTTCTCCAACATCCACTTCCACACTAAAGCCCTTTGGGCAAGAAGCATAAACAGCACACATGCCTACGGTAACTAGTGAAATAAATATAATTTGAATTAGCAAAACAGTGTTAATTGAACCATTGGCCCAACTCGAGTGATTTTTTGTCTCCCCCTCTTAATTTCTACCATAGTGCATTGAACAGTTTTTAAAAGAGGGCACCTTACCAGAAGCTGACTTTGCTTTCAGCGAAGCAATACATAGTTCATTAGATGCTGCGTATAATCCGCTGGAAGCAGCTTCAACAGTGCTTTGTGCAAGCTTCCATTCTTGTTCAGTACCTAGTACAGGAAAAAGAGAGCATAATTTCACTTTCCAATTTCCATATGGATGTGTTAACTGGAATGAAGAGGCTTTGATTGATGAGGAATATCGTAAACTCACGTGTATAAGAGTGGTAAGTGACATCAAATCTTGTTAGTGCATTCAAGTATGCTTGCTGCCATGTCTTGCCATCAATGCTAGTCCTGAAAGGATAAGGCTGGCTAGGGATAAGCAAACATCCATCTCTTGACGCTTCAAATTCTAACACCGACACACAAAATTTTGCAATGTCAGATGCCTTTTCTTTAAATTCCCATAATATCTGCCTCCGCATTTTAATATGCTCATGGAATTCAGGAGGAATTCCTAAACTTTTGTTTGAAGAGTTTCCAGAAGTGCCAGTATTTGGACCTGCACAAGCCCAACCCATAGCTCTCTCAAGTTGTCCTTCAGCTACAAGAGAATTTCGCTCACATGATTGAAGGCCATCCATTGACCTAGTGATTTTTGACACAGAAGATTGTATGCATTCCAATAATTTAGGTCTGCTGAGGTTTAAAATAATTGTATTTAAGCTGTCATTGCTATCAATATGCCTTTCAAATCTGGCTCTTCTGTTATATGATTGACTCATGCTCACATCATGCATCCATTCCATCTGAACAATCTCAAGGGTTGTTTTCCGAAGAGAATCTTTTAACTCATTTACTTGTCTTTCCATGAGGGAAGCCGCTGACTTCGCTGCTCTGGCAGTTTCATGAGCATTGCAGTATTCTTCAAGCATAAGTAAAACTCTTTTTGCAGCTCCATCTCTTCTCAACTCATCTAAAACAGTTTCCTTTGTTGCCTCTGTTAATTGCTTCAGGTTCTCGATTTCTTTATCTAAACAAGCCAGAAAGCTAGGAGCAACTCTTTCCTTTAAGTACTGATTGACATGTTTCTGTACCTGGATTTCAAGCTTTTTCTTCAGAAAATTAAGTGACTGGTCAAAGCCTAGGTTTTGCTCAACAGATGAAGCAACATCACGTATACATGCATCGAGGAAAGAATCTATGACACCTATTTTCCAAATAAAGAATGAATGACCACCTAACAAACCACTGACTTTCCAGACATACTCAGATATTGGATTCCCAGAATTTATCACATCTGCAAGAGCATGAAGTTCACTCGAGGTGATTGCAGAACCATCAGCTGAATACAGTGTATTATCACTGGATTCCAATTGCAAGAAGGGCTTCACAAGTGCGGCCAACAGTGCTTCTCTTCTTAAAATATGTGGCTCTCTTTGTTCTTCAGGAAACACCAATGACTGGAAACGACTCTCCACAGACACCAGAGCATTTTTAATATCAGCTTCCCTCTTTATAAGCGAAGAAGTCCTCAGATCTCTCTGATTCCATGTTTGATGGAGTTGATCAAGCTGCGCTCTACAAGATTCTCTTGGGAGGCAAGTTCCTCTGCCTCTTCCCAAGAAAGATGATCTCTGCCCTTGACTGCAGCTTCTTCAAGAGCAAGCTGTTGCTCAGTAATAAGACCAACCTTAACAAAATAGTTCTGCTCAAGTTCAACCAATGACAATCTCTCCATTTCAACCTCCACAAGCTGCTCCAGTGCAGTATCTATGGACCCTCGAACTTGTGAGATTAACCCAAATGCATCCATAACTTCTGAATGTAATGAAACAGCAGACCGTATTACATTGGGTAGAACAATTTCAGTCATTTGACTGATCAAGCCATTACAGGAAGACAAAATGGTTTTGAAAATAGAAACCCAATTGCTTTCTGAAGGGAATTTAGATTTGTCCTTGTTGAGCTCCACAGTAGGCATGTCCTTCCCAATTATTTTCCATAGATCACTCACAAACTCTGTCACAAGATTACATCTTTCTACTTGCTCTTCAAACTCAGTGAAAAAAGCTCCAGAATCATTTAGCAATACATTGTGTTCGTTATATAAGTGAAGTACTCTATTATTAACCTCATTATAAAGCCAGCTCACAGAAATGTTAAGAATTGATAATGCTTTTTCTTTCTTCTCTTCCAGGTCACCTGGCAGTCTAGCGTTGTTTGTTCCATCATGTCTAGATTGGGCTGATGATGTACCATCTTCCTTCCTTAATAAACCACTGGACTGCAAAAATTTCATGAAGGCTGACAAAATTCGATCTTTAGCTTTTGATTCTGAATCTAAGCCTATAGAATTCTCTAGTTCTGCACGCTCTTCTTCCAATTTTTCTATTTCTACTGCATATTTATCCACTTTAAGACACAGATCATCATGTCTGAATTTGATAGAATCGATGCTATCTCCACCGAATTTCACCACAAGATCAGATGCCTGCCTCCTGGCTAGAGAAAGAATTTCAGAGGACAGGGCATTGATTGATAGTTGCAGAATTTGAGCCCACCCATGAACTGCACTGGTTGTAAGGTAATTTAAGGGTAAGATTCTTTGCAGAGCCACGGAATATGCTTGCAGTGCGGTTATGGCAGAAGCAAGCCCATCATCTAGCTCAGACACAAGTTGAGAAACTTCCCTATCTATATCATTGCATTGTGCCTGTGTTGGCTCGGGAACAACAGTTAGAGGGACACCAGCTACAGTGACTGCAGCTGTAAGAGACAAAGCTTCTTCCATGTTATTCAGTTTATAAGACGCATTGACTTCTGGGATTATATTGCATTGTAGAGCATCAAGAATCCTTCCATGTTGCTCAACCCAAGTTGTTGCCTCATGAGCTTTCTCTGTAACCAAAGCCTTTGCCTGGGCAAATTCTCGGGCCTGTATTTCAAATGAAGCTCGGATTTTCTCAGATTTACTGGTTGCTTCAGCAACAATTGATTTTGCAGATGTCTCATGCAGAGTAAGGTTAGATCTCTCTTGATCAGCCCGATGAAATAAAGTAGAGGCAAGCTCATATTGATTTAGAACATTGGTAAACCTCTGTACATAAATTCCCAAAGCCAAATTAACACAAAATGCTTATCAATTGAGATCTACATAAAGTTATGATTTGAATGTAGTCAAGCATATAGGGAGACTATATCAATACCTCAAGTGCAGATTCAACAGCCGGCAGGCTAGTCAATAATTGATCATGGTGTTCCTATTCAAAGATTAAGGGGGAAGCAACATGTCAGATAAATCTGAAGACAGCATGGCTCGTTTGTTGAAAAAAAATGCAAGATAATCAGCTTAAGCCAATGTTTCATTTTCAAGCACAGAATAGCTCAAAAAGGATCACATGAACAAATAGAATGAATCAAGCACCCTAGAATAGCACCTGAGAGAAATTCTAAACTTCACATGCAAGATAAGATGGAAAGTAACTATAAATTACACATATATCAATACATTCATTAGTTGGTTATTCCAAAGCACCTCTAAACCAGGTGTCAGCTACTTGAATTAGAAGAGCTTGGAACATAGGAAGAAACTATTACAAAACGTTTTCTTCAACAGCAAAAATGAATATGCGACTTTCATCTCCTAGTTGGATAAATACCTGTAAGGGAACACGAATTTCCTGCACTCGGGACGCAAATAGACTCAAGCTAACAGCTAATTCCATGCCTTTTCTCTCTTCACCACCAATAGCAGCTTCATCATGAAAATCACCCCGTGTCCACTCTACAAGGGGATCCCAGACAAAGACTTCCAGTAACATCAAAAGAATGTCTTTGTTCTTCCTTAAAATGCCAATAACTGTCTCACAGTTTGCTCTGAAGCTACCCTCTATTCCAGTCAGCCCTAAAGCTGCTTCAATCATCTGTGTGAGACGGAAAGGAACAATCTCTGGAACTTTTAATCTTTGTCCTTTATCGAAACAAACGTTATAATCAATGTGTACAATACTCCCACTACCAAAATCTATAAGAATATTATCTAAATGTCTGTCACCCAGACCCAGAATATGTCCAACTATACTCATTGCTGCTACACTTCCAGAATACCTGCAGATTGGAAAAATAGCTATAAGTGCAGCTGCACATAACTTCCCTCATATGTCATAAAATTCAATTGAGGCAAATACTAGCCAAGGATGAGTTTGGAAACACATTACAAGATAATGGTCAACAAATAGGAACTAACATCATTTACTTGATATCTAATGACAAACAAGATCAGAGGCAACTCCAATTAAGGTGTTGTTAGACATGGACACTGGCATGACATGTGTCCAACATGTGCTTTGTAAAGACACGTCAGGATCCAGAAAGTTACTTTATTACATTGAACAAGCTGATTCCAAAAAGAAAATGCATAATTTTTTTTTAACAAAAAAAGGAAAAGAAAAAGAAAAAAGATAGGATTAGACACTTTAATGCCCCAACTTGATGAGATATGAAGAGTCCTTTCCGAATGGTTTGTCGTGCCCATGAAAGTTCTGCATATATACTCGTGCACACACATGCAGGACCTAAGCCCAGTGAATGTTTTGCCTAAAATAATTTGGCATCTTTTATATGGTAGATTTTTAATAACATTAGTGTACAATGCTATAAATATAGGGCAACGCTGGTTGTGGTTTTTTCTTTCAAATTAGGTTGCTAAATGGGAAGGCTAAAAAAATAGGAGTTGGATGTGACCCATACATGGTGTATATATAATGTCCAATTTTGCTATGTTCAATGTCTCTGTCCATTTCATTGACCACACTCCAGAACTTACTGAACATTTGACATCCATCATAAGTGTAAATTGACACCCTAAAATGGTAATTTTAATCCCTAGTTTGGAAGTGGTGAAAGCATTCCCAGAAATGCATCCTGAACTCGATTAAAAAATCTAGATCCATAACAAATTGAAGGACCCGGCTGTTGTGCATATTATAATGCGACCATGAAATTTGCCAATAAAGGCTTAAAGATTACTTGAACGCACCTCTTCATTTTTGAGCTGAAGGCTTTATATCCTTCGCTAGCACACCATAACTCTTGGTGCAGAAGATGCCGTGGCACTTCCTTTATGAGATCAAGTAGAACCTTACGTTTAACTTCATGAGGCCAATCCCTTCGAGAAATTACTCTTTTAATGCCTTTCTCTTTAAGTGCTGGTATGATCTTACCATAGAACATATCACTGGGCCGAGGAACAGGTGGAGGAGCAGACGGTTTTGTATTCCCAGCACCAGCTGTTGTGAGCTGTGCTAGCTGGACACGGCTTTGCCAAGATTTAAACACACTGTATATACTTATTACGTTATCCACCCATTGGATAAGCCCTGCCCGGCCACTTATTGGAGTCACAGAATAATAGCGAATGCCAAGTGAGTTGCCCTGGGTAGAAGAAGAATGCAGAAAACCATTTATAGCCCGTAGCAATTGCATTATTCTAGCATCAAGGCGTAGATCTTCTCGCCCTTTAAGGAGATATGTGTACATCTGACCATCAGAGCCCAATATAACAAGTTTTTTAGGCTTAGTCTTTGTTGATAAGATAGTCACTTGTTCATGGAAAGAAGCAATTTTAACACCCTGAAGATCAGTAGTTTTGTCAGATTCAGGTATTTTGAGTTGTTTCTCAAGACCTGGCATTGGGACATCTGAAGAAGATAACTGAGCCAGATGTGGTGCAACTTCTTGTAAAGAAATTGTAGACTTCCTCTGATAAGAAGCCAAGGATGCAGCAATACCATCAAAAGGTCGCCAAACATCTCCCAGACCTGCAGCAGACATGGGGGGAGTTTTAAATGTTAAAATTGCTGATTTTAACTGTTCTTGATACTCTTCCTGGAACCAAGCTTCATGAGGAGTCTCAGGTTTTCGAGCAGTTGAAGCTAAACGGCGTTCCAAAGCCACAACAATTGGAGCCATCATTGCAGAATATCGAGCAGAATTTATCTTGTTCTTCTCATTCTGACTAAGACTGATGTTTTCTGCAATCCTTGCTGCTTCCTCCTTCAGCACATTTACGCGCCTCATTACATCTGCAACAAGACAAATTCAGGCCCAGTTCCATCATCTAATACAATATTCTGAATAACGCAGTCAAAAGAAAACAGAGACAAACATCCCCTAAATAGAAAATTCCATCATTTATTCTGTATTGCAGGGCAAGGAAAAGAGGTATAATGATCAACAAAAAGCAACCTGTGTGTAGATCCTGAAGAGTACTGAGCCACAATTCTTCCCAGAGAACAGTAACATTGCTGAGTTCATTTATCATCAGCTGAACATCCTGAACCAACCTAGGGTAAAGTTCCCTCTGCATGGTCAAAAGTAAATTTTAATCATCTCACACAGTATGTCGAACAGACAAGCTGACAAAAGATTACTTGACAGCAATAATTGCCCTAGAAGATATGGTCAAATCAATGAGTGTGTGTCATCAAAAATATGTTTGGTCAAATTGATGAGAAGATATCGAGAAAATTACTAAACAGAAAGCTGGATTACCCTCTTATTTTCTATATTGAGTGCATATCATGATAAGTACGCTAGTCCCTTGCTACATTCAGTCCAACACTCTGAACCCATTTGAGAATGAAAATGCAAACTTAAAGATAGGCCTACTACTTATGCTAGTAGGTCCTCAGTATTCTATGAAGTTGGGAACATATTTTAGGATGTTAACCAAGCCTTGGGTAAATGAACAGGCAAGAATAGAGTGCTGATTTGGATTTGCAAAGTTGAGGCCACGAGAACAGAGGAGGAATATGGTGCACCAGGAACAGACCAGGATACACAGGCCTCATTTCGTTTCTGGAATTGAAGCCTATGGAAATGGAAAAGAATGATAAGTGAATTGGATGGAAAGAATTTTGTTTGGTACGGTTAATAATGGAATAGGAACACCTTTCCAACAGTTTGTTTGGTAGGATAAAAGAATGAAGGAATGGAAACACATGAGAGCAATATGATGCCCCTGATATATATATATATATATATATATAAAACTCAGAATTAGTTACTAAATTTTGAATTTAATTCCTATAATTCAAAAAATTATAATTAGATTTTATAAAAATTATTGTACAATTTTCAATGTTACACTTTTCTTAATGTTATAAAACTTATTAATGTAACTACTTATATATTATTTTAATATAGCAAATAGTTACAAAAAGGATAGAGATATTACAATTGCAAATAGGATGGCTTGTTCTCTCCAACTCTTCCTACGTGCCAATGAAGGGTAAAATGAGTTCAGACCCTTCAAAAAGCTTTTATACCATGTATCTAAGGGCAGTACTCAGTAGGGCAAATTTGGTGATCAAATTTTTCCCTCCGGTATTTTATTGTTGACACCAAAACACAGTAATCCCATTTACCATTTCTTTTCAATTGAAGGCAAAGCATGGTGTGAACCAAACATGTTTAGAACAGGTATTCCTTCACTGTTTATGTTTCCATCAAGCTACCAAATGGGCCACAGATGGATTTTTCCAGTTTGAGAGGAAACAAAAGAACAGCTAAATTATGATAAGCAAAGGGACAACCAAGAATTGGTAATCATTATTATCATTTTTGCCAATTTACTACAACGTAATGTGAATGGAATACTAAATGTTGAAAATATATAAACCATATCAGAGACAAACTTTCAATACCAGACAACTCAGAACATGATGTAGCTCTTCTGAAGGCTTCTCTTCATAAGCACTGACATCAACTAGTGCTGGGTATACTATAGAACAGGGAGACTGCTTAGCCAGCATGATCAGTAAGCCCTCCAGATGCTTCCGGATCACTTGTTCATGATGAGAACTTATACGAGCAAATAATTGAGGGGTAACTTCCTAAAAAAGACAACTATAGTTAGAATTCCAGAAAAACCATCCTCTATTGAAAAAAAATGAAAGAAGAAAAAGTAAAAATGTCAAGATCTAGCATGCCACCTGCCATGGTAACAAAGGAACAACCATAAGTGCAGATTCAAGTGTGTCTTTCAACTCCACACCATAATTGAGGAGTATATGCAATATATACAATGTGGCCCTCAGAGTATAACTTCCAGTCTTTTGCCTTGAAGATTCATCATCTGAAACAGGCATCTCGTTCTGGCAAAGCTGGGTAGATGAGTAAGAAAGATATTGTATGTAACCATAAGCTGCATGCCCAAACAGGGACACTCTTCTCCTCCTCAAAGACCACCAAATATTGACTAAGCCGTCCAAAGTAGATATTACATCAGATTCTCCCAGCCCAAGATTTGCATTTAGCAAACAAATTTTTAACCGAGAAGACAGCATGGATGAAAGACTTTCACCACCACAGTTTTCTGCACCTGGTGCCCCAGCCGCTGTTTCAATAATATTCACTAACTGCAGCACTAAAATCGTTAGAGGGTTGTCACTATTTGACTGCTCCTCAGAATCAAGCCACAATTTCCAATATTGTTCATCTTTGAAACATTTCACATCACCCTTGTCCTGCAAAAGATGCAAAATCAATGATTTAATTTGTTGCACCTCATCCTTACTCAACTTGAATCTCTCAGTTGAAACTTCCGGAATAAGTATCGGAAAGGAGCATGAACGAAGGGTGGCTTCATTATTATTATGTAGGGAGTCCCTGGCTTGAGTGAAACACCAAGAGGCATAAGAAATCCATGACTTACCCATGGCAGGGCAAATACGAGTGGACAACTTCGTTGCTGTGCCAACAATTTCCTCAGCAACCTGACCCACACTTTGCTTAAATCTTATATTCTTATCATTGCCATCATTATCAACTGAAGAGATTTCAGTACTTTCAAAATCTGCAGGCATGTTAATAACCATATTATTAGGACTCCAATCAGAATAATTTTGTCTCAGCCACTTTGCAAGTTTCAAGCATGCTTTGGCCCTCAGAATTTTCTCATCAACATCAAGTATTTTATATTCTGAAGATCCCATACAAGGACGCAACAATGACCAGAGGTTTGTGAAAGCATCTTCAAACTTGTTTTCCGCATACAGCAGTAGAATGCCCTCATACTGTAAATTTAAAGAGAGAAGATCACGAAGCCTCTCTTCAGGGCAAGTAGATATGCAATCATTGAGATGGTTTTTCAAACGGTTTGCCAACAATAGATTTCTTTGTTTACGGGCTAAATTAAGCAAATTCATGCAGAGCTTCAAAGAAACTGGAGAAGTTGAGAACATTGTTTGGTATACTCGAAGAACCTTCAACCATGGACTACAATCTTGACGGATCGTGCTAATAGAAGATGGAACCAGCTTAATATAGGAATTTAATATTGACTGAGCTTGTTTGGCCTTCTCATGGGTTGATTTAAGCTTGCAATCGTCTTCTAATAAGCAAATGCAATGCAACTGAATAGCAAGAGGTGTTGCTTCAGCCAACCCATCAAGTGGCAGAATAGATAGAGGCTCCTCCAACATTGATCTAGCCTTCTGCAAATCAAGAATCACTTTATCACTCTTCCCCTCCTTCTGGAAAAGCAGTGATTGCAAAAGCATCTGCTCACTCCGTTGCAATGCTATTTTTGGATCAAGGGTGAGTTCACTGCTACTTTTCGGTGTCAAATCAAGGCAAGACCATGCAGACTGATAATCACCCTCATCAAAGCGTGCCAATGCATGGATTGCATTAATTTCATTTCCAGCCATAGTCAAAGCACCAGAATAGCTTTTCCCAGCATGCTTAGAACGAAGCAGTTGCAGCTCTAATAGCCAGCTCTCAAGAGATTTCCAATCTGATACAGCAGTATAACTCTCAATGATCCGTGCAATGACAAATTGTACACCATCCGAACCAAGAGAACAAAGTGATTCCTCTGTTTGTAACAAGTGAGTGAAATGAGCAGCAGCACTTTCATATTGGCCTCTTGCCTGATATACAAGCCCAGTTATCCATGACAGAGGCCTGGCTGTGGCAGAGTCATTGAAGGATTGGCTGTCATCCCCAAATAAGGAAGAGAATGCTATTGAAACCCAATTTTGCACACCAATCAAGGACTCTGGTTCAAAACTTCTACAAAGAGCTAGTGACATGTGCCTTAAAACTTTTAAGACATCTCCTCTATACCTTCCTCTACTATTTTGGAAGTTCTCAGCCACCTGAGCCCTTGATTTTTCCTTCAAAGCTGACATGGAAAGATTTTTTAGCTCCTGCAAACGTAGTGTGCAGTATTGAATAATAGCATCATTGCAATGCAGAGCCAATCCAGCATTCATCATTGGTTCACATATACGGGAAAACCACTCTTCACAAACTTTTTTGTTAGCCCGAAAGAACAAAGAACTCTGGCGGGTAGCTGATGGTAAAATGACAGAACCCTCATATGCATTGTATACATTTTTCTTTAGAGCCTCAACAAAATCCAACAATAATCTCATTGGCAATAGATGAGCACCAGAAGATCCTATCATACTTAAATTTCCGTCATTTTGCTCATTATCGAGTTGTAGAAGGTGTGCCACATCCAAAAGCATGCGCTCTAGGGCAGCAAATGTTTGAGCAGGTCCACCGAGATTGGTCCTAAGACGTGTAGAAATACAATACCTTGCTGCTTCTTGTACGGCCCACCAGGCACCAGCTAATGAATTGACAGAACATATTCTTTCAAGAATGTCTTCATCCACTTTTACATCCAACCATATAGCACTAGCATCAACAGTCCCAGTATCTTCAGTCTGACTGAAAATAGAATCTCTTGAACTCCTGCAGCTGTGAATAAGCCTCTGAATCCAGGAAGAAAGAGGCACCTTCCATCTTTGTGAAATGTAACTTAAGATGGAGACAAGTTGTTGTGAGTGCAATTGCAGTGGCAGCTGCTTCAGGGCAAATACTTGCTTCCAGTGCAAGTGGGAAGCATTGCCTAAGCTCAGGTTAACATGCCTAAATTTTCCATAATCATAGAGGCCACAAGCATATACAGTAGTAGGCAAAACATGGGCAAGTAGCCTTACATATGCATCCCGTATTTCAACAACTGGATCACCAAGTTTCTCCAGTATCACTTCAGCCAGAGGATAAAAACATAATGAATATAAAAGCTTAGCTTGCAGAAACATCTCCAAAGTTATTGCAGCATGCGATCTCACTTCCAATTCTCTGTCAAATGTAGCACCCAAGAGTGAGTAAACTAAGTTCATAACAACATTAGCATGTTCGCATGGTTCATAGGAGTAAGCATTAGCATTCGAGATATCATTAATAGCCATAACAATCTCACAGAACTTTTGCCCCCAATGTAGGGCTGCCAGTTTAACTGCAAGAGGAGAAGAACCCTGGAGGCCTTTGATCAGAAGCAAGCTATACTTCATTAGATACCCAGTAATCAAAGCTGCATGGCCATCACTCCTCTCCGTTTTAGTTGGAAATTCTATAAAATCTTTGCCACAATTCTGGTCTCTTGCAGAGCACTTGATCAAGAGCTCAACTGTAGTCAGCCTCTCCAGGAACTTGAAAACAGCAACCTGTAACTCCAAGTAAGGTTGAATAGGTATTTCAAAAGGATTCAGCTTTTCTATAGTAAAAGACACCAACTTTTCTGACCTCCTACTATACATGGAAACAATTTCCGTTTGGCCAATCAAATTGCTATCCACACCTGAGGGAACACATGCCAATAGAACTTTCAAATCAAACTTGATCAATGAAAACAATTCAGGTTTAGAAAATGTTCTTGAAGCTGTGACACTATTGCAATGATTCGTATGACCAGTATCTTTTCCTAGCATAGCCTTCAACAACTCCAGCTCTTTAATCAATGAGGTAACGGCTTCATCGACAACTTCTTTATTTCCATGTTGAAGCAGGAAAATATAAGTAGCAGCACAACTTCCTGTTACCAAATGATTCGGATGGAACCGCAGCTGAGAAATTGGTGCATCGAATTGCAATATCTTTTGTACAGATGATGGGAGAAGGCCAAGCTTTTGCAATGATAATAATTGAAGATTAGTTCTCAGAACCCCATGAACTTGAAAGGATGTAATTTTCTTATATCCTGCATGACGAGGGGTAGCATCCAAGTCCAAACTTTGAAATAAGATATCAACAGCAAGAGGATAAAAGTTTGAAAATCGTTCACATAATATTTCTGCTAATAGGGTCAAACATTTCCAAAAGTCTTCAATCCATTCAGACCATCCAAATTTCTGCCCAACCACTGATAAGCATCTCAACAAGTGAGGTAGCATTGTGCTAAGGGGTTCACTTATTTGTTCAAGAAGATTCATTTCCAGCAACCCAGAAGCAGTAGACTGTAGAATTGTTGAAAAGCAGGAAAGTAACGCCAGGAGCCTTCGAAATTGAGGTGGGGTTCCGGGGGTTCCATCCTGAAGCAAGACCTCCATGTCACCCAAGAACTTTGTCAGTAACCTTAGTGACATAGCCAAGCTACCAACCCAGTGTTTCTGAAATTGCAAGAAGCTATCCATTATAACACGCCTTTCTGATTCAGCAAGGTCTGGCACTAATGCCCATCCAAGAAGGAGGTCAACAATGTCTGGAAAATGAGGTTGAAAGCATCTTGAGAATTTCACCGAGATCAATGTTATAACTCCCAGAAGTCGATGTAATAAACTCAAGGAGGTTCTCTCATCCTCAAAGAGTAGTTGGCATGCTTTGAGAATTGGCAAAACATACCGCTCGGATCCAACAACATCCCCAACATTAAGAAACTCTCGCAGGCCATCCAATGCCAATTCCTTAGTCCCATCAACTGCACCAACATTGCTTAGTAATGGCAACGCCCAACCAATGAACCTATCAACTAAACTTGCAAGTATGACATGGTTCTGTCTTCCATTTGATGTAACAGGAATCGAACAGATGACAGCGCAAAGAGCACCATAAGCTATGACTGCTGCCTGACGCACAGCACCAGATCTGTAGTGGGATTTCCCCAAAAGAGGAGAAGAATATTTCAGCAGAGTCGTTATTTGGACAATAAAATGAAGCTCTTCGTCCAAGACAAATGCGGCTTTATTTGCTCATATTAATGATAATATTTCCAAATAAAATCCCTGCTAACTGATAATGTAATAGATGGGATTAAATTTTTATTTTTTTTCGCACCAAAGAAAGAAGTAGAGGGAAGAAGCCTTGAAGAGATGCTTCGGAATGCCCTCCTGCCTCTAACATTATGTCTATAAGACCAACAATAGGTAACATAAACTACTTCCCAGAGCAAACGGGTTCTTCTTTAACAAACGCAATGAACCATAGAAAAATAACGTAAATGACTTTCTTCACTGAAACTAGTTCAAGGGTAAAGCTAAAACAGAAATCGACTAATAAAAGGGAGAATAAGATAAGAAAACGATACGCATAGCAAACAAACGCAACTGATCAAGCTGACTCAAGATTAACTAATAACCGCAGAAATGGAAGGAGGTACTTACTTATCAGACAGCAGTTGAGAAAAGCCTTGGGCGAGGAAAGCGGCGGAGTGAGTGACAAGGAGCGAGTTGTGCGGGTATACAATTGCACGGTGAAGTGAGTTAATGGCAGCGAGTCGAGAGTCATCTTCGTCAGAAGGGGCGGTGGACGAGGTTGAATCGTCCTTTGGGAGAGCAACGGAAAGAAGCGCTGCAAGTTGTTGTTGATGATGGTGGAGTCCTTGCATCATTGTACGGAAGATTATAGCTTCGCATCTCGTGCTTCTACGCTGACTTCCCCTTCCTCCTGCTCACTGCATTTCTTTTGCCCGGAGCAAGTCAGCTAACAGCAAAGGAAGGACCTTTCTGTTGGCGAACAAGGGAAAAATATTGACGATGATTTTTGTAGAAGTATACCCCTGTGCAACAGTTTTAATTAATATATGAAGTCACAAAAAATTTAATTTTGAATTATTATTTACAAATAACTCATAATTTCTTTAAGAAAAAAGTTTAAGCACTTAAGTTTATATATTTAAGATAGTGTTTTTCAGTTAAGTTAGAATAAGCTGATTTTCAATACAAAAATAAGTAGTAGTAGTAATAATAATAATTGAGCAATAACTAATAAGATATGTGATAATTAAAAAAAAATCCCCCTTATCTTAAATCCTAATTTAGTAGAAAAATAGTATCTTGGAAATTAAGTTAAGATTAAAAAACTTATTATTTTTATAATAAAAATCATTCTCTATTTTTTATCAAAATATTTTTGAATTAATAATTATTAAATTGTAAAATTTTAAAAGTAACTTAATGAATAAATAAAATCTCTTAAAAAAAATCAGGATATCCATAAGCATCTTAAAATTAAGATGTCGCATCGAGGAAAATCGAAGAGTAATACTAGGGAATGTTAACAAATACTCTGAATTTCAAGGACTTTATTGCAATTAAAAAATTCATCGGGGAATCCCAGACTCATCCCCGGCGTGTTAAAACGAACGCAGTCTCCTTTTTCGCGAAGGAATCTGAAACAGCGTCGTACGTTGAACTTCGTCGCTTCATCATCTTCAGGACCTTTGTGGTGCCGAGAAGAAGAGGAGTGAGAAAAGATGTCGTACGACGATGTGGAGATCGAGGACATGGAGTGGAACGAGGAGCTCCAGGCTTATACGTACCCTTGTCCATGCGGCGACCTCTTCCAGATCACGAAGGAAGAGCTTAAGCTTGGCGAAGAGATTGCTCGATGCCCTAGTTGCTCCCTGTACATCACTGTCATCTATAACATGGAGGATTTTCTCGACGATCGAAATTCTAAGAAGAATCTCGAGCCGCCAGCGCAACAAGCCGTTACCGTCGCCTAAATTGCAGGTTTCTTATAATTTTTTATGACCTATGTTTTCTTTTGATTCATTCTGTTTTTTCTGGTTCTTTCCTTTTCAGTATTAGTTGGGAATTAATCGTAGTATTCATGAGTTTAATATCCTTCTTTAGGGTCTTTGCCACCCCCACCTCCACATGTATTATGTATTTATTTTTCAATTCAGCCGGTTTGATTGTCAAAACTTGATAATCCTCTTCTTTTATTGAGCTCTGGGGATTGCTTGCTGGTTCGTTTTCTGACTTGCCTATCTCATGGAGACGATTATACTAAGGTGTTAACTGGTTTTTGTTTGGGCCCTCTAATTGAATGGTTAATCTTGCTGCCCGAAAGTTCTGTCTGCTAACCTGACACCCCCCCCCCAACCAACCAAAAAAAAAAAAATCCATACAGAGTCCCCGAAAAAATCTCTCCTTCATTTCAGTCGTTGGGTATAATGTATACGGAAAACAAGAGGGCAAAGATGTGTTTGAGTTTTCAGGCACTCTGGCTATTAATGGTTATTGTACGTGTACTGCTAATCGAATTGTGTAGTGGCATTTGTAAGCTTTTCCTGGTCTTTATCCATGAAATCCCTATGTAATATGTATTTCAATCTCCATCCTCCCTCAAGAAGAGGGCATCTTTAAGTTTTCTGATTACTAAACACCTTTCCTGCCTAACATTGCATGAAGTCAAAGGAATGAGCTGTACCATCCATGATTTATATTAGCAATATATTGATTCTTTAGCTTTAAATTTCAACCTCTCCATAGTTATTTCAATCCTGCAAGTACAAAGGCCTATCCTGGGTTAAATTAGAAGTGCTTGAATCTTGGGTCTTGGTTTTCCTGCATGGGGATGGTTAAAGAAGCGTGAGAGGGCACGTCTAAACTTCAAAGTTATTGCATTAGCTCATTTGTAGTTTTTTATTTGATGTAACCCAAGATAGGCCGCATGTAGACTAAGAGTTTGAGCTTCTTATCAAGTTGAAAGTGCAGGTTTATTGACCCTAGTGCATACTCATTATTGTGCTTTGTTTGATGTTTGGTGGAGAAGGTCTCGAATTATAATTGTTTGTTTAATGGATAATTAATTTGTTTGTAGATATTCAAGTGGAGATTAAAATCCACTACTAATTCGTTATTTTATGTTTTTGGTGTTTGCTGATTTGCCGTATCAGTTTTTCCTATTTTGGCATTTCTCACCAGCTTTTCCCTCACTTTTGTTGGTAAGATCAAAGCCTTGTGGCATAGAACTATACTGTTAACTGTACACGGTCTGTTTGGCTTTGCTGATCCTTTGTGTTGATGTCAATTATCTAAATTGTATTTTGTATTTCTGCCCACTAATCACTATTGCATTTATTTTACCGGTGCTTGTGTGGTTTTGTTTTTGAGGGGGCGAGTTGCTGTTGTGTTTCATTGGGTCTGCATTTTTTTTATCCTTTTCCTATTCGTGTTTTGTTCTCATTGTGTAGATTTCATGGTGGTGAAAGTGGAAAATTATTTCTTCCGGTCCTCATGAGCACCTCTTTATGATCCTTAATACGAGGTCTTTTGTCCAAGACATTAAGTCCCCCCCCCCCTCCAGTATCCTTTGATTTGATATTCCCCGGCAAACTGAACAACTCCATACCAACTAAGCAACCCCTTCTAATAAATGAATTTTAATAAGGTTAATTTTGAAAATACTGTTAAAAAGAACTGGAGGGAGCATCTTGATATATTGTAATTACAAAACTTGAGACAGCTTGTTGATCAATAAAGATTAGTAGATGGTTTTCGCTTCTTTCGGTTGTATGACTGAATGCTTTGTCTTGCAGGTGTCCTGAAACGGAGAAAGCTATAGATTTTTGGTGCGGCTTCATTGATCATAGCATACACCGAATTTTTCTTGCGGTCAGGAATTCGTTGTTTGAGATGAAAAAGGGGAGAGAACTATTGTAATCTAGTGTAGTTCGACAAGAATACTACTCCTCCGGTCCTTATTATAAGACCTAATTTGACTTTTTATTTGGTCCTAATTATAAGACCCAATCCATTTTGTCTCTTATATTTATGTATTTTTTTCCAACATAATCCTTCTAATAATGATAGTTTTAGCCAATATACTTAATTAGCAAGGATATTTTAGGAATGATAACACTTATTTATTATAAATAACCAACTTAACTTACTTCCTTAATCTCCTCAAATAAGTCAATTGGGTCTTATAATTAGGACCGGAGGAGTATTACTTATTTGAACTATCTTTAGTCTTTAGTAGGGAGAAGTGAACCTTGTGGTGTAACTTCTCAGGAATTTTGATAACTTATTCCTATTGCCCGAGGTTATGCGAATGGTGTATTAGTTAGGGCTGGTTCATGCCACGCTCTTGGGGGATTATAATGGAGGACGCCATGGATGTGATAAAGCCCTCCACTGTGAAGCTCTTCCTTTTCTCATATATTTATGACTGACTACTTAAGCAAGTTGGTGTCTCCGCCAATCAAACTGCACCCCCCCCCCCACCAAAAAAAAAGTATGGGCTGCTCAATATATATTTTTTTAAAAAAAAAAAGCTTAGAATCTCAAATAAAGATAGTTCTTCAGTTGTTTTTTTTTCCCCTTAAAATAAATTTATGATTTAAAAATTATAGTTCAAACTTGTTTAAATCATTTTTCAATGCCGTAACAGCGCTAATCTGACTGATCCTGAGGAGCATTGAATTGGATTTGGACTCTCTCCACTAACATTTTCTTTCCCTTCATTACCCTCCATTTCTCTTAACAGGCATTGGATCCAAATTCCAGTAGTTGAGATGTAATATTTTATAAAAATAAATATTATTATAAAAAATAGATAGATAAATTTAAATTGTTAAGATTTGATCTGAACCATTCATAGATACAAACAATTATTATAGAGTAATTTTTTCAATTTTTTAATTACAGTAATAAACTGTTCAAACAAGATTTTAACAGTTTAAGTTTATTTATTTTTTTTAATAATATGATTTTTATAATATGTTAAATCTGGATCATTAAGATTTTGATCTAATGGTCATGAAAGGAAAATGAGGTAGTGGAGGGGAAGAGGATGGGAATGGTAGTGGAGAGTAGGAGTCTTCATAAAACCCAGTTACCCGCTATGCATACCCAAGCCCGTAAAAAAAAGGTCGAGCTCGTCCTAAGAAAAATGGTTAGAAAGAATTATTGGACATATTTAGGCTGGATATCAAGCACGATATATTGCCCTGCCTATTTGGCCTTACCTGTAAAAATATATATAATTTTATTTATATATATTTTATTTACCTCATATTTGTTTTCTAAATCAAACGCATTGTTGCATCAATATTCAGTATTTATTATACTTATTTATTTTTAAATGATTTTGAGAGTTAGAAACTAGAAGAACAATTAAGTTTGATAAAATATACTAACAACATTTTTTTTGTCATAGTCCACTCCTCTTAGCTACTACAAAAAGTAGTTTCATAGTATATTAATTAGTGATAACAAAATTATGGTCAAGTTTCCATTTTAATATAAAGTTACATTAGATAAGTTAGAGGGACATAAATAATTAGTTAATTAATATAGTATATTGACTTATTGGGTATAGAAGCCCGTCTTACCCAGCCCGCATTTACCCAGGCCAAACTTATTAGGGCTTTTCTTGGACAGGGTTAGGCAATGGGCTGCATTTTCCAACCTGTTCCTTCTTCGGGCTGGGCATCAGGCAAGGATCCTGCGCCCGCCCAGTCCTGCCCATGTGTAGCCCTAGTGGAGAGGATCCAAGTCTGTATAGACCTATTTGGGATAGTGTTTAAAAACACTTATAAACACATTTTGCATAAATTAAAACAAAATTTTTCTCACATATTTATTTCGTATTCTGTAAATTTCAATTAAAAAGTTATTTATAAGTTATTCTGAATGGACCGTGTGTGTTTTTCTAATTTATGATGTTTATTAAGAGTAGAGATGAAATTCAGAACAAGTTTTGAACAATTTTAATTATGCAATTAACTTCTCTAAATTTTAATGAGGGAATTAGAAGTTACTCAGAGATTATTTATGTCAATGGCGTGGGAGCAGTTCTATATGATAATCTTGCCTTGTAGATTTTTATCATCCTCTTCTCTTGCAGTTTAGAGAGATTTTCTATCCAACACCTGGTCTCTGTGCACTACATTAACAGATTTCTCGATCAACAAGGCACTCGAGAAGAGTCATACACATGTTCATGTACTAGTAAGTTGTGATTGTAAGTTGTAGTAATATTTTAAATCGCACATAATATTAAAGATTTGTAGCAATATGCCAATCCTACGCAGTCAGTGAAAGTAAATCATTTTAGAAAAGTGTAGCAGTATCTTTTCTGTAGTGGACATGCATGAGCTTCGATTATTCAAACAAACATCAACTGTCTGTTCATCATTACAGTGTTAAGATAATATGATGAGGATCTTCCTGGGCACCTTTTGCCAAAGATTTACTACTTTGTTACTTATAATTGACCAGACGAGAAATATCATTAATTTTTCTTGATTCGAAGGACAAGTGGAAACACATTGTTGGCCACCGGGAATTTATTAGGCAAATTTCACGTCCACTGCATTATTGCAGATAGGGTTGCCTTTTGGGCTCAAAGAAACACCAATCATGAGCCCTTTTTATCAAGTGATCAGAAACCACAAGACAATCAATAAAAGCTTGGTCCAATTAATAAAGATTCAATGGGTGTTTGAGTGGAAACTAAAATATGATTTTAAAAATATTTTTACAGTATATGAAGTACACATAGGAAGGAGTTATCTGAAAAAATTTATCTTGTTTTGCGGAAAAAAACACTTTTTAAAAGTATTTTTAGTTATTGCCACGTATCCCTTTAGTTCATAACTTATTATGTTGTGAATTCAAATCTATTGATGAAATGATAACCCTCTATCAGTGTTTTTTGAGTCTGGAGATATATTTTGAATTAGCGAGCTTTTAGGACTCAACTCATTTAAATTATTTTTTTCTTTTTTCGTTAGAAAATAACAATGAGACAAGTGAAAGTATGGTTCAAAACCAGATGAGGAAGTGGTAGTTTGGCCACGGAAGAGGAAGTTTTTGTTGGTGATTGCTGTTAAAATTGGCTTTTTGCAGATAGTGGTGGTGGGAGTTATGTCATTATTATCCCCTCGTTCTCATTCTGATGCGGATTTCCAATTACAGCTAATAAGTGGCCTCTCCTTTAATTTGCACCGAGTTTGAATATTCTTGCAAGGCTCACTTGACAGTGGAAATCTGACATTAACCTTGACAATCACATTAATTAATCAAAACAAATGAAGCATTGTCTGAGAGGAACATAATATATATTTTACTTGGTACTGTGAGTGTGAGTGCGTGCGGACCTTGAATAAAAAAGAAATATTTAAAAAATATATTATGATTCTAAATATTAGAGTTAGTTAAGGAGTTTATTTTGATCGTAACTATAATATCTCAAATTTTTTTATCCCTCAAATTTAAATTTCCTTCAAACTAACCTTATTAAGTCTACTTATTAAGGGGGTTTTTATCAAATTTTAACCCTAATAAGGGATATTTTAGAAAAACTAACACATATTTTTTCTACAAATAATTAACTTAACTTCTTTTTTATATTAGGTTTAAAATCTCACCGTGCATCATTCTAAGGTGATTTTTAGGATCATGATGGGGTGGAATCAAAAGTACATTTTGACAAAAGTAACCTCTGGGTTTGCTTCAACAAGACCATGTTTCAGTTCCTTTAAACACAATTTCAAATTTACACAAAGTCATAATCTACCAACAAAATCGTGGGCAAATCGTAAACGTGGTTTTGCCACTAAACTCTCTCAAAAGATTTAAATTACGTAATTTTTGCTATGTTTTTGTTATTATCACTCAAGAGGCCATTGATCTTTCTTGGCTGTCTTTCTCAAACTTTACACTAGTGATGCCTAAAAGAAGGAAGTTGCGTGCGTGTGTCTATATATATATTTTTCCTACCATGGACTTGTATAATAATATACTACCTCTGATCTTACTTATAAGATTTTGTTTATAGTCTACAGATGATGTCTTATAATTAGGATCAGAGATAATATTTTGTTCTTGTCCTACTATCCGTATTATATAAACTTGCTGCCTTTAATAACATTTGGTCTTTCATAAAAAAAAATTTAGTTGATTTAAACTTTTCATCTTTGATGTTCATATATTTGTTTGATTAATAAAAAAGATAAAAGAATATTATTATGCATAAAATTTCTATATTATATTTATACTTTTTCCCCTCCAAATGAACTTTTTTTTTTATAGATATGAAATATTTGAATTGATGAATATAATGTATTGTTATGCCATATGCATTTAATATAAAAGAACTGAATTTATTGATATTTCAATTTGATCGCTTGGACGAGAAACTGGTCCTAATAAAATTATTGTATCATTAACGATAAGATGACATAACGGCATGAAAATTCTTCCCATAAGTTACAGGTTTGATTCTATAAGATTTATGCATTTGTAGCATAACAAAATATATAATTAAGAAGTAAATGTATTGTTTATGCTTCCAAAAAGTGTCACGATTGATATAAACCTTATAAATTACTAACAAGTATCAAGACCAAAATATGTTGATGGCAAAAGAGAAAAAAAAAAGATCAAAACCAAATATGTTGAGGCAAAATACAACTATTTTGCCAATAAGAGTCGGTTTCATTCATAAAGAGTCAGTTTATAACTCATAAAGACGTAAGTTTGAATTTGCCTCTGATATGAGAATTTTGTGATAGACGATCTATATCTATAAATACTTTTATAAACACTTTTTAAACCTATAAGCATGCCCTGACCTTGATGAACTTGTGACACAACTTACTTAAAGTTAAAAAAAGATATATCAAACTCACTTTTTTTTTCCCTGATAGTGGTATGCCCATTTTGATTCTCTTTAGTTTAGCTCTTAAACTGTCTTCTTGTGTGTGCCATGTGTCATTTGTGGAAACACATGCACAAAGCACCAAGAAACGTGAGGACTAATCATATATTTACTTCCTAGGCTTCTTGCTCTTTATAAGTTGCAGGGAGGCAAGGTGTGTGTAACAATGCCGCATGTATTTTAAGAAGAACGCAAATTTGGAAGCGCCTAATTTGTGAAGCAAAAAACAATATCACGTTCCGATGGGCACGTTAATAGGGCACATAGTGCCTGGATTGGCACTCTTCCTTCTTGGCCTGTGGCACACCATCAACACCATCAAAGCTTATTTTTTGAAAGGCCCTTCCAACTTCACCGTAAGATTCTGGTACCAATTCGATGCCTTTCATTCTAGACTCAAACATTTGGAGCTCATTTCCATTCTATCTTTCTCCATCCTTGCAATTTCCCTTCAAGTTCTGGATTTTCCTTCTTTTCACCTTCTTTTTGAGCTGGACAGCTTCGAGCATGTAACCATGTTCTTGCAGCTTATTGTGTTTGCAAGCTTCATCCTTTGTGCAGAACTTTTTACTGATTCATTTGAGCTTTTGTCTGGGTTTGTTGGGATCCTTGCATCCTCAGTTTTTGCTCAAGAGTTGTTTTTGCTTCATTTTCACTCCACCGATCACGTCGGAATTGAAGGACACTACCACTGGTTGCTTCAGCTCATAGTGTTCATCTCACTTTTATCAGCTATTTCTGCAACTTCTTTCCCCAAGAGTTTTCCAGCAGCACTTGTTCTTTCCATTTCTGTCATGTTTCAAGGTTGTTGGTTTCTCAACATGGGATTCCTGTTATGGGTTCCTGCTTTTGTCCCTCAAGGTTGTTCCATGAATCATTTAGGCAAGACCAAAACTGGCCATAATAATCATAGCATGCTTGGAGCAATTTCTTGTGGCTCTGATGAGGCTGATTTTAGAGCCAGAGCTTTAGCTAATTTACAGTTCGGTTGGATCTTTGTGCTATTCTGACAGTTTCAGGAATAATCTGTCTCAAAATGGCTAAAAGATCCACCATTTCCGACAGACTGGTTGAGTACCAGAGACTTCATAGCAGAGTTGCAGATCCCACAATAACCACTGAAGGTTTGAAGCTTGTTCATTCACAATTTCTTAAGCAGGAAGAAACTTGAAAGTGTGATATATGAAATATCCTTTGTATGGGAATTATAATTACACGAGCCAAGGTTGATCTTGTGTTTTATCCAACTATCTGTTGGATTTGTTAGGTACTTTTGTCAATATGTATAAATCAAATCCTCTGGATACTAGATCACAACTTGAATGCTGCTATGTTTTTCTTCTGGAATACCGGTTCATACATATATAAATATAAAATATGTAAAATATGTTTTTACTTGTAATGACATCTAAGTTTGAATCCTATTGAAGAAAATTTTGCGGGCCAAATCGCCAGATTTCTTTCTGAGAATTTGTCTGTAAGTTTTGTTTTCTCTAACTTTGATCACTTTGGTTGAAATAGGAAAGGATGTTGAAGTATACACAATTTTTTTTTGCAATAGTGCGCACAGATTTGACTGTGTGACTACAATAAAAAGCTTCTCTGATAAATAAATATATAAATTTATCTTAAATAGATTCAATCAGGAATTTATTAGTTTTAATCTTGACCCGAATCTTTGATTCAATCAATATTCAAATTATTTTTTGTCTCAGTCTAATTAATCTGTTTGAAACTCTGAATATTTGAGGAAAGTATTGATCAAAAAAGAATATTTTAGGAAAGCACGAAAACGTAGTCCACTGCGAATATCAATTCTTTCCAATCACGCACAAATTGATTTTAACTCTAATTTTTTTATAATTTATGATTAATATTTTTTAGTACAACGGAAAAGATAATTTATAATTTATATATAAAAAGAAATCTCATACAAAATCTCACTCATCCGGTATCAACACAGCTCCAAGCATATGATTATATGATAATAATCATTCTTTTTATTCTCTGGCAAAAAAAAAAATCATTCTTTTTACATTCACATAAACAGATAATAAAACAATTGATACGATTATAACTAATCAATGCCTTGCAGCTTCGTTTACCTTTGTGTGTTTAATGCTGTAAAACCTACATTAAATTTTTGTAAAATAGTCTACAGGAAGTTTTTTTAAATTTTTTTCATTCAAGAGATGAGAGAAGGAACAAATCGCCGGCGATGGAGCTTGCCGGCCGGCAAACCGGCGCATTTTTTCAAGATAATACTTCCCACTACGATTCTTGACAAAAGATTGGTAATGTTCAATCTGCTCTCCTGCTTTTTCTAAGTTTGTTTTTCCCACCCTCTAACATTATGAATGTTCTGTCATAAAAAGGATTTTATTTTAAACATCTGTTTTGTTCCCAAGAAAACCAAACAGAGAGGGCTAGGATGCTTCCATTTTAAATCTGTGGGAATTACCTTTACGTGCTTTGCTATCCCGGTTGAGTTAGATATAGTTCAACTTCTGTGGATTGGAAAACCATAATAGGAACTTAATCTACTTTTTTTCTGGGAAAACAGAGACTGACTTAAATTTCCTCGTAGCTCTGAGAATATAATATAGATTTCCATTTTAACTCCGAATAATGAACATGTAAATCTTTTTAAGAAGCAAATTGGGTTTAAGAGAGGCCTTTTGTTTACATGATAGAATTAGGAAAAGCTTAAAACCAAAGGAGATTTTTGGGTCTGTTTGGTTACTGAGAAAACAGAGACTCACTTGAATGATGCCCTACATATGTTCTGTTTGTGTGTATATATTTGCAAGGGGATTAAGAAATTTGTGTTTGTGATTGAGTTTGATAAGTTTGGCCCCTGATATTCGCAGAGAGTTCCTAAGACGTTTGTGAATCACCATGGGGAAGATTTCTCCCCAGTTATTACCTTACGTGATCCTAATGCTCGAGAATGGAAAATTGGTTTGGAGAAGAGTGAAGAAGATGGTGATGTTTGGTTCTCAGAAGGTTGGGACAAGTTTTTGGAATACTACTCCATCACCAATGAACACTTTCTGGTTTTCAGATACGAAGGAGATTCAAGATTTCATGTTCTAATATTTGACATGAGTGGATCAGAAATTCAATACCCTTCCCAAATTCCAAGTCCTGAGAGAAACCAGGTTGCCTCCTCAGAATCATCAAAGAGCAACGACCATGATCATCACTGGAGTCAAAATCATAATGATAATGATAATAATGATAATTGTAATGGTAATGGTGGTGGTGGTGGTGGTGATTATGATGGTGGTATTGGCCATCACTTTACTGAAGAATATTTTCCTGATGACGAGGATGATTCTACTCATGCATATGAAGAACATAATCTCTACTATAGCACTTCTTCATCCGAATCCACTTCTCCTTCTCCATCTAAATCCAATTCTCCAACAAAAAGACGAGGCTTCACTAAATTCGTAGACCAAGCATCCAAAAGAGAAAGAAGAAAACGCTATTCTTCTCCTTCTTCAAGATCTGCATTTCAAAGAAAAAGGAGGAGGCGTGAACGTAGTGCCAGTGAAAATGATGAACAAAGTGATGGAGGCTCAAATCGTAGAAGGAGGAGGAGGAGATCGGAAGAAGGAAGACGCAGAGGAAGAGAAAAGAAAGAGGACCACGTAGAAAGGGTTCTCAAACAAACAGTGAAATCAAAATCATACAAGAAGAGGCACATATCAGATAGATTAAGAGCCAAAGTTCTTCAAGCAGCTGACAAGTACAGGTCTGACTTTCCTTCTTTCAGGGCTGTCTTGAGACCTCACAACTTATACAACAGTTTTGTGGTAAGTACAATATGTTTATTAATTCTATTACAATTACTACCTCTAATCCTTAATATACAGTATGCATTCATAATTTGGATAGATTAAATCATTAAGAGAATTAGTTAAATTAATTACTTATCAAAAATGCATATTAGTTTCTTTAAAATTCTCTCTTAAATCATTTTTTTAAATAATGATAAATGTAGGAGACAGAGTACACTATTGAGTACAATACCTCTGAGCAAGTCATATTCATCAAGTCTACCACCATTCATTAGTTATTAGCTTCCTTATATAATGACTGATATTGAATTCTTAGTTTACATGTATACCTTGTTAAACTATTTTGAAAGCACCATATCCAAATTAAATTTGTAGTACATTTATTGATATGGTGATGATTGTGTAACAATGATATGCAATTTGTGGGGATGCAGTATGTACCGGCACGTTTTGCAGTGAAGTATCTAGGAGGAGGGTCAGAGAAGATAAAACTGGAGAACGTGAAGGGGAAGCAGTGGGAAGCTCGATGCTTTAACAGGAATGGGTCAGGGAATGGAATGAACATAGGAGAAGGGTGGGCTAAGTTTAAGATGGACAATGAGGTCAAGGAAGGAGATGTGTGTGTGTTTGAGCTGATCAAGAGGAAGGACATTGTGTTAAGAGTTCGGATATTTCGTGTCAGACAATATGCAGATCGGTGAATCAACCCTGTACATGCACGCCCCTTTTATTTGTTTGTTATTTGGTTGCCCATGGAATGGTGCTGTTGTTGTAGATTTTTGGATCAAATTAAAATGTAATCTTTTATAAGGTCATGTCATGTGTCTCAATTTATTCTTTGAGAAATAGTTTTTGTCATTTTCCTTTTTGTAAAACAAAAACTACAATAAGACTAGCAATGTTATATGGTCTTATTGATTTGCTACAAGATAAACAATGTTATTATGAAGGATAAGATCACTATTATGAAGGATAAGATCACCAATGCTATATGAATGTTGGGCTCTAAAAGGTTAATAAGGTAGCAAATATAAAGATGTTAAAATGGATGAATAGTCATACAAAAAATATGATTCAAAATGATCATATTAAAAGAGTAGATCTGGCACTTATTGAAGAGAAAAAAGATGGAAAAAAAAACATTGTTAAAAGCGCCAATTAAAAAAACAAAAAAAAAGGACCAGACAACATAGATTTCCCACAAAAAAAAAACATAAAAGAAGGCCGAAAAAAAAAACACTCAATAAAATCATTGAATAAGACTTTTTGGTTAAAATCTATTTAAGAATTTGATAATGATATCACGCAATCCACACAGCCAACATCGCCTGATGAGATAAAACTTGCCCTTTTTTTTTTTAACATAAAATCTTTGGACACTTTATGATTATCAATTCCAAAAACAATTGTCAACATGGCCAAATACCACGGGACACATAAAAGAAGTAATCTTGGAGTCTGTAACTTGGTGTTGCCTTCGCTTTTAGGTAAAGCCAGCTGCAAAGAGTGCGTGCGGGGGCGCGCAGTAATTTAAGCCAACACAACATTCGGGTGGAGATATAAACAACATTCTACGGAGAGTACCAGGAGGCAAAAAATGATGTGAAACAGCACAAGTACCATCCTTTAGACTCAAGTTTCCCATCAGCAGCTAGACTAACCAATCTATTTACAAGCCATAGCAAGAGGGGGGGGGGGGGAGTCCCAAAAAAGGAAAAACGTATATCTGTAACAAGACTACATTAACTTAGTTCCACTTTTAAGTCAATCTGAAATTTATATGGACAAGGAAAAAGCATCTAAGTTCCACATTAAGAAATTAGATGAGTAATAAACTGATCACACAGAAGCAAGAGGTACATGATAATACACTTGACTTGAGGCGTCAGGAATTGATCTGAAGCTGCTAATTTCTAATCATTTTAATGGGGCTCACATCTTGCTGCAAGGGACTGTTCAACAATTTTGAGGTTGGGCTCATGCTTTGGTTTTGCTGCATGGGAGGGTTCAACAATCCCACATCTTCTTCGAGGACTTGGAATATAGTAACCTTCAGCACCACTTCCCTCATTCTAAGCAGCTCAAATACACAGACATCGCCTTCCCCAAGGTTGTTATCCTGGGCGAATTCGAACCAGCCCTGGCTTAACTTCGCTCTGCCCCCTCTATAAAGACAGCGAACCGGCCACTGTCTCCCCTCAGTAATCTGGAGTTTGATGAAACCTGAAACCCCATTCAGATGCTTTTCTGCAAAGCAAGAAGGCAAATACTGGAAAAACAAACATGAGAAATTTCACGTGAGAAAAAAATAGTGAAGATGGGGGAAAAAGGTTTAGAGCTCCCTTAGTAATTGCTTCTATCTCTTTGGTAATTATAGATGTAACCTTGATTCAACTTCATCCTCTGAAAAGTACTAAAATGACACAGTACAATCTTTCAAGGATCAAATATTCTATGAAGTTGAAACACAATCAAAACCTACCTAAAGTGATACGTAAAGTCTTTGAGGAAGCAAATTGATTCTACATTCATTTTTTGGGGGACCAAAATAGAGATTTTGTCAAAATGTTGTCATATTAAATCCAATGGCTCACCATTATGCATCCCCTATACAGGTAGGAAGGCCGCAGGACAACTCTACAAAAAGGATTAGGCGGTTCATATGCTTTTGCAGCATTAACAGCTCTTTCTCTTTCTTCTGCTGTCACAGTTCTTTTTCTCGCAGAAGCACTTTCATAAAATCTAAAACGCATTTCTACCTCCTCTTCATGATGAGGAGAGGATTCTTCACCATCTGCATATCCAAAAACTGAATTCATGAGAAAATTCAATATTTTAACCAACAATGACTAAAGATGATGAAGTCATGTTAGAGCTTACTAGGATCAGTTTTCCGTCTTTTTCTTACAGTTTTTTTAACTCTCTGCGTTTCATTATTGGAAGCGCGCAATTTCAACTCTTCAGTAGACCTTTTAAACTCAGCTGCATTGAACTGAACACCTTTATCTCTGGTCAATTGATTGTTTTGTGAATTGGCACCCTTTGAAGATATGGTGTCTCCCCAGTTTATGCTATTAAGTTTAGACCCATTAAACAAATTCTGCAATGGTGAAGGAGTATAATTCTTGCCAGGTGTCAATTGATCTGCAGATCCAGCAATAACCTTGTTATTAAATGCACCAGGGGTTAAATGTGAAGGTGTTGAATCCGAGTATTCTATGGAATCTTCATCTTCCATTTCCTCAAAAATATGTTGGTTGGAAAAGTAAGGCCGTTCATCACTATTTCGATTGGCTAATTGATAGTTTATCTCAGAAGCAGCCAAGTTGAAAATATGAACATTGAAAGATGAATTCCCTTCATATCTGAACACCAAAAAGCATCCAACACCAATGGAGTAACGTTGAACAAACTCCTTCCACCCATCATGGAGCCAAAAGTTGTTGTCTACCTTTTTTATACAAATACGCCAGACACTGCCATCAGGAACACTAAGGGTAGCAATTGTAGAGAGCTCCCCCCCAAATTTCCTCAAAAAATAATCTGGAACCCTCTGCAGTCCACAAGTTAGATTTCAATCGTTAGCAAATACTCACAATGTGAGACTGCAGATCGAACTTTCTACCACTATTACAAAATTAAAATTAACTACAGAATTAAATAGAGAATCAATCTGGTCATGCCCATCCATCACATCAGAGAGCTACACAGCCCTCACCCCGCAAAAAGAGAAGATATCGGAGAGAGGAAAAAAATTACGGGTGCTATATAAAGTAAACATGATTGTGGAAGCGTGAAAAACTTAAACATTGATTATCTATACATTAATCCTAGGAAACCCAAAAATAGGCTATTCACAGAAAAGGACCAAATTAAGAAGGAATGTTAACTTGTTAAGCTTCCCAGTTACTACTACTAGTCAGAAAAGTCCCTGAGGGTTGGGGAAAAAGGGAGAGAAGTAGCCGCAAATCAACTTGCAAGAAACATAAAAATGGTCACAATAAATGATATAACAACAAAAACAATATATACAAGAAGCATTCTCCCACCAAGTGTTCGCAAGCTACATGATAGAACAGCTAATTGTTTAGATATATCGTTTATCATGATATCCCGTTTTATAAATTCCTTCATTGCAAAAAAAAAAAAAAGAGAGGAAAGCAAAAGGATTTGATTTCTTCCCAGGTGGTCATCTTGTAATTCAGAAACCGAAGTTGCAAAGAAGAGAGAACTTAATCATCCAAAAGTCACCCCTACCAACTGTAGGATTTCATCTTTATTAACCCCCTAACGAACTTTTAGAAGGAAAGCTTTTGAGCCAATCTTAGAATAATAGCTCACTTCAAACGCCAATGCCACTAGGAAGGGATGGAATGCCTGACTAACCTCATTGGTAGATGCTTTTGATATGAGTACCTTACATTAATATCTTCGAATTATTTAAAGTGCTTCCTGCCTCAATTCAACTTCACCGTAAAGAACTCAGGTTACTCAGACAGAGGAGTACGTTTCCTTCTATTGAAGTCAAATCCTTATTTTTTGCCCAGAATACTTGATAGTCTAGACTGTTGAGTGCTTTTCTACGACACCCCCACTTCAAGAAAATAATGAATTTGACGGTTTTCCACGACATTTTCAATTAGAAATATAATGCCCAGGAAGACTCAAAGGCTTACGTTTATGAGCACTATTGACAAAGAAATGATTATGAACTAACCAATCTAGTCAAGTGTAACATTAGAATTCAGCTCAAGAAGGCATAAATTCTAAAATCTTAAAAACTTAGCCCTATAAAAATATTCATTTTATATTATTTCCACTAAAGTAGTCTTCCCTACAGTAACAAAGGCCAAAACACATGAAATAAAACCCTCATATGAGAAACCAACGATTTCAGTGACGGAGCTACATTGGCAACGCATTCTTCTATGTGCAAAAACCTTTGAAAATACTTTCCTTAGTCAAAATATAGATTGACAACCCATGAGCATCCAGAATAACCCATCATACCTTAGAAGATAAAACAAGAGCGAAAGGAATTGGCGTTTGAAGGGGGGAAAAAAATCTTAAGTTGCAGAAGCAGAATCAAAACCAAGACGCGCTATGTTGCCAATTTTTTTAACTCTCACTCAAATTTCTCATGAAAAGAAGAATACGGCCAGTCCAGCATCAATTATAAAAACTTGCGAAGAAAACAACGAAGAAACTCCGTCGAAGAAGATAGGAAGAGCGAAAGGAGGGAAATTTAGGTACCAGTTGACCGGCTTGGACGGTGGATGGAAGAACAAGCTTGTGAAAACAAGGACGCGGCATTTTCTGACTGTTTCAGAAGCCAGAAAAATAAGGCTCAAAGCATTTGATATATTTCCTCTTTCTAGGTTTAACCAGAAACCTCAACGGGGCCTCTTAGCTTGCAGATTTCCTTGGCTTTCAGATCTGCTTCTTCTCCATCCTTTCACTCATAATTCACTCTGCTTTTGAGTCAAACAGCGATTTCTAAACCTTATAAAAACCCCAACTTGACCTAATTAAAAATGCCTACGAGTCGAGCGAGTCCGTGACTCGGAAACTCACCCCTTCCCGTTACTCCCTTGCCCTTGTCAGAATTTCGATTCCCTTTTAGGGTATTTATTTGTGCATTGCACTTTTCTTTAGCATGTGCTTTATGCAGAATTTGATATTTTATATATATAAATAAATATATAATTTTTTATTCTATATGTGGTTACCACATTATTATTAAATGGTTATATTTAAAATAAAAATGATTAACATATAATAAGTATAGAAACTATGCAATTTAATTTTTTTAAGTTGGATAAAAATGGTTTTTTAAAATAATAGTATAAATATTATATTATATTGATTTAGAAAAATTTCATACTTATCATAATATTAATTAAAAAGAGAAAGTGAGGAATAAAAGGGAGTATCCAGCCAATTAATTAATTAGCAGAAATGAATAAAAAGATCCAAAATTATCAAAAGGAAGATCCTTTACGGCTTTATTCCACTCTTCCTGCCATCTCTTTTTATTTCTTTTCCTAAACAAAAACCAAACAGCTCACAAAACGCAGCTTTTTTACACTTGTCAAAACGAGGTAACATTTCTGGGACCACCCCGGGGGAAAAAAAGATAAAGATGAAATTTATTACCATATTTTATGCCTAATCTTCAATTTAGTTAAATGGCATATTTTCTATATATGATATATAGCATCATTGTCATTAGTAAATCTAAATGACAATGGGAAGGTGCCAAATCCGAACTAATTGCAATACTCACCGTTGATGAGTATCATTGTACTCATTCCCACACTCAGCTCATTTAAATACAGTTTTAATAGTTTAAATTCAAAATTTTTAAGCAATAATTTTAGGGGCTAATTTAATTTTTGATTCTTTAAGTTTGTCCTCGTTTTGATTTTAGTCTCTCAAATTTCAAATCATAGATTTTAGTCCCTCAAGTTTCTTTTATTTAAAACATTAGTCTCTATAATTCAGTAAAAATTCAAACTCCATTGACCCTTGAGAAATCAAAACTTATAGTTTGAAACTTGAGAATTCAATATCAGAATGAAAGCAAATTTGATGGACCAAAGATTATATTAACTCTAATTTTTAAGTGAAAAATTTACTTTTTGAAAAATTGACTATTAGGATATTATTTTTATTTTAAATTTTATATGCATTGAAATTTTTAAAAAAATTAAAAACAAAAAAATTATTCTTCTTTTGACCAGCAACAAAAAAATTATTCTGAAACCTCCAAATTAGATTTAAACAATGTGCAATGAGAAAAGAGTAGTTGATCACTCCACTTAGCACTTAAATATTATATTTATTGTTAGCAAACTTTTTGAGACTTGCTCATTGGGGGCAAAACCAAGAATGAACAAGTTGACAGAAATGATAAGACAAGCTTTTTTATTTGTTAGCTCACTCAAGGGAAAAAAAAAGATATTCTTTTGTCCATAACAAGAGAATCCCATAAAAATTTTGGGGTAACTCAATCATGAGTCTCTCTCTTTTTTTTTCACACTGAAATGTTATGATGGGTTTGACGAAATTTAAATGCAACATGCTAGTAAAATTAGAACACCAACCCATGTATTGCATGAATGCACACAGACGTTAACTTATGCAATACATAGTTGTCTTCTAAATAATGATTTGTGAAGTTTTATAAGCGTGAGAGTTATATGAAATTAAAGTTATTAATAAAATAAATGATTTTTTTTTCAAAAAAACTAATACAAACAAATAAAACGCACATTTTAAGGTAAATTATATCTATCATATCCTAATACTGCTCATAACAGATAGAGCATGTTAGGTTTATTGTTCTTACATGTTGCAGCAGTATACTGGCTACATAGATGAAGCCAATGGATACACTTTCTTGGCCAATGATTACATGAATTACTTGTAGTCTGGAAAAGCGATATGTTGGTTGGGAATTCTTCTTCGGGAAATAATTCACAGAGATGGATAGCATTCTAAGATTCCTGTTTTCCACCTTTGAAGCTAATATAATTTGAACATTTTAGTCTTATAGTGAAATATTCACCTTCACACTTTGTTTTTATCACCACAAAGCTTGTCCTCTTCTTCATATTATAGAACTATGTGACCTCGTTGATAGCTCTCTAGGAACTCAGATTATAAAACCATCTAATTTTTCTTCCTGTAGTTTTCTGTTATGAGATTGAGGACAATGGAAGAAGAGGGCTGTGCCAAATTGAAGATGGGCATAGTGATATTGATGGTCGTTTTTGGGGCAGATGCTGCAGATGGAAATGACGTCTATAGTCCATGCTCTGATACTAAAGTTCAGAGAGGTGATGGTTTTAGCTTTGGTATTGCATTTTCCAACAAGAATTCCTTCTTTCTTAACCAAGGTCCACAGCTCTCGCCGTGTGATAGCCGTCTCAACCTCTCCGGCAATGCTGCTCAACTTGCTGTATTCCGGCCACAGGTTGATCAGATCTCTTTTCTTACCATCAATGGAAGCTCTTTTGACCCGGTATGAAATGGTTTTATCCATGTATATTTGATTCATATGTTCTAAGGATAATTCTAAACAACTTAACTAAAGGTGATTTGATTGTATTGTGACTCATTAAACTTAGAATTTAGTCTAGTTTCTCAAATGGGAGCTACAAGTAGAATAGTTAAATATTATTAATTAACTGTTCACCTGTGCATGTGTTCATTGAATCCTTTATATGACCCAGATAATACGATGTAAATGAATGGATAAGGGTATGGTTTAAACCATGATGACCAAAAAACCATTTGAGTTCAGTTAAGTATGTGAATTTCTCTTGTGATTCTTCCGGTTTCACATTGAACTCTTCATTCATATGCAATGATCTGATTCGTAGATGTTATGAGGTTATACTAGTGCTTTTGGTTTAGAAGGTCAGAGAAAAGTAGAGGTATAATAATCTGCATGTTTAGAAGTTAAGATCATGAGCATGATCCAGTATGAGCAGTTTTCTGTGATGTTATTATTGATCAGGCCAAATCTGGTGGATTCATGGTAGCTTTTGCGGGACATCAGTATGCAGCAATATCTGCTCCAATTATGTTTTCAGACAACTCTCACACCATCACTAGTTTCACTCTGGTAACATCATTTGACTTGCTCAAAACTTGTGAAGACAGACTTATGTTTTGTTTTTCCTAACTGTTTACTGTCCAAATTCTCAGTTCAGCCATCATATGTTGACAATGTTGTCTGAATAAATTATTTAAGTATCCTATGCAATACTGTATACTTCATGTGTATCATCCTAAGTGGGATGGTTTGAGCAGATTCTGGAGTTTAAAGGGGGAACTCTTGAGAATCTGATATGGAAGAGCTTTGGGTGTGAAGGATGTTCTGGGGAAAGTGTGTGCCTGAACAACCAAGACTGTGCAGTGCCAGTTTCAGAGTGTCAAAACAATGGAGGAGGTGGCTGCAACATTGGGATTCAAGTGGCATTCACAGGGACAGACAGGGACCTCAAAGTCCTCAATTCTTGGTATCAAGTCAGAAAACTCAGGCCCTATTCTCTCCCTTCTCTCTTCTCTGGTCTTCCTGATTCCATCATTATTGCCCCTTGACAATCTTCCTTTTCTCATTCTGTTTTTGCCCAGACTTGTCGATGAACTGAGAAACAAATCATATCTTTTACTATTCAATCATGTAATCAGGAAGACGGCCATACCGAAAAAGAGATTTTCTTCTTCTTTTTTTAACTGATAATGAGACATACTTTTCCAAAAATATTGGTCTTCTTTTACATGCTTTGAAGTAAAGACAGAAAAAGAGGTGAGTAAATTTCACCTCTGCATACTTGAGTTTCACATCTGTGAAACCTACCTCTCCTCCATCTTTTTCCTACTTCATTCTTTAAATTACTTGGCGGATTCATATTCATACATACAATTAACGAATCGTAAAATTTTTTAGATGTTCTAAATTTAAATTTAAGAAGCCATACGGTTAAAGAAAATAGTAAAATACCACATGAAAGACTTGGACTAAATAAAAAATTCGCGTCTTTTCTGTTTTTTTCTCTCCAGATACATTATATTTAGTCGCTCTGATGACGATGCTGATTACACTTAGCATCAAATACTACAACACGAAAATTATAATTAATACATACATATTGCTTTCATATTTTGTTTTATTAAAATGACGCATCAACTCTCTTTTATGGGATCCATCCCTCAATTAAAATTTCATGATTAAGCAAAGTGTATATTGGGTTAATAACAGGACAAATATATTATCCTGAAGATGTGTTAAGCGGGATTCAAAGTACATCAACATGCTGGATATCTTTATGGGAAACAAGTCCCATTCTTGACAACAAGCTTCGGGGGCAATTTTTTTTTTTTTTTTTTAACATTACAGAGAGCATTTCTGTATGCGGGTACTGATAAATTGTTGACCCTTGAGTAAGAAGTTTTGGAATCAAATCTAGAATAACTTACCAATCAGGCAATCACATCCTATCAGGTTATCAACTATGATCATCCAATTCATTAGATAATGATATGAAAAGAACAAAGTTACATATAAATTCAAAAAATTAAATTCGACCAACATAGAAACCTGATATAAGAGCGAAAATAAATGTTCAGAAAATGCCCGAGACAGACAGATCCCAATGTCGAACGAATAAAGAATATTCACTACACTAAATTATCGTGTCAGCATCAATACAAACACCCTAGGGCATGGTTATGCCTAAAGAGTGCAAGATGAATCCACAAAAAAGGGGCCAAAAAGAAAAAAGAGGTATTCCTGTACATGAACCTAAATCTAAACTTTGTACAGTGAGAGCTGGAAAAAAAAAAAACAACACATTAAACATTGCTCCTGACACCTTATCAAAGAGAAACCAAACAGGCAAAAGCCGTGAAGAAAAACCCATGTCACAAACAAAGACTTGACCTTTCCAAGTCCCATGATCTCCACCAGAACATATGCAGGCCACTCTGACATGTCTATACCGGTTGGTGAACACGCATGCTCTCATGAACACTCAAGACTAGATTCCGCATCTCGGGGAATATTGATATGAGTAGAAGTTCGAGGATTGCATAAGCAAGTTGCTTCACGCAAATAGTAGACTGAAACGCAGACGAATGATGTAAATGTTAGTTTAGAAGTAAAATTTCTTGATTTGTAAAATACTTCCCTATCAAGCGAATACCACAAGGGAAAGAGATATTTAACCTGACTAAAATAGTATATGTCTCTGGCACAACGTCTGTACTGCTTTTGCCCAATTAAGCTGACCAACGCAGTTGGAGCTCCATCTGAGAAGATAAGAAGAGAATTAAAATATAATGGCTGGAATGAAAACAAATATAGACGTTGAGAGGTCTCTGAGGGAGTTGTGAATTTTAGATGGAAGCAAATGCTAATCTTAGAAGAAAGATGGAATGTGCCAGGAAGAAGCTAAATATAAGTTTTAAGGTGCAAGGATATTCATCAAAAGCTGATATCAAATGAATACATGTTAGACTTGAGAAAGAAGAGCTAACCAAAGAGCAGTTTCTTGACAGCACTAGCCCTGCGAGCAGCCTCCAGTTGTTCCTCAAAGGAGCCTGACCCACATTTAGTGATCTTGCTTCCACTGAATCCACTCATTGTTTGAAAAAGGTTTTTATGCATGTCATCGTCATCAGTTGACATCTGAGGAGCCCCCACTCTAGTAAAAAATGTACCGCCAGGCCACAGCACCTGAGAGCATAGCAGTAGACAACATGAAGTTTTTTTTTTTTTTTTGGGACCAAACAACATGAAGTATTTGAATTTACATAATATAAAATTGACACTGCATTATTTATGATTCATCAACAATGTGACATTGTGACTTGATTCAGACTTCATGCAAATCACAAGCCCCACAATCTAGTTATCTACAGAAGTTATCATTTATATCATTCGGTACTCCACAATTCTGTTTAATATTTCAGAAAAACTTCAACCATGAAGATTTACATTTACCCAACATTTCATGACCTCCAGCTAACGATGAAAAGACAACAGTCCTTTTGGCATGCATTGGTGGGGATAGAATTCCACGATTTTTAAGGGATAGGACGTTATTTGATTTGTGGCCTCTACTAGGTCTTGGACAAACAGTTTTCCACTCCAAATGCCTAGTAATACACAGCTACCTAAGATATGCATTTTAGAACCAAACTGAAGCTAAGCATGATGCAGAAACAAATCAAACAAAAAATAAGGTCATTCACATTTTTAGGCTATTTAAGAGGCATATATAAACCAGGGCCATCACATGATATTCTAGATGACAAACTGTCAGTCCTAAAGATGAGGTTCAAAATTCGATTCAGTCCTTACATCTTGAACCCACCGAATTCCGTGGGCAATAGTTTCCTCCCGCCTGAGCAAATTAATCTGCCTCAACAGCCAATCATCAATTGCATCTTCCATCACCAACTGTAGTATCTGCTTTGATATCCAAAAGACCTGTCTTCTGCATGAACATAACTTAGTCAATGTAAGAAACTCATACGATCACAGTGAAACAATTCAACAGAACCATGAGACTTAACATTGAATTCACTAAAATTCATTCACCCAAAAAGTAAATTTCCAGCCTATCCAACACAGTAGAAAACACAAAGATTGAAATCTATTGGTGGTAAATTATTCTGTTTTTCCCCAAGCCAGAGGAAAAAGAAGTCAAGATGATACCATGCCAGCAAAAGGACTTTATCTGTAATGCATCCCCTCAGTCGAAATCCCTTTAGGCTTGAAGCATGGACAAATCATAGATCAACCAACCCCTTGAGTAAAAATATTACTTGATCTTTAGATCAGGGAGATCAAGATGGTATATCATGGCAAGGAACCAGTCATTCTAAAAGCTTAAGATGGTAAGTAAACACCACACAACAGCATACAAAATCAAAGAACGCATCAGAATAACTTGCAAATTCAAAAACAAGCAACATGAGAACACCAGAAGATTTAGTAGCATATTGGAACTAGACATTATTTCTTGCAGTTACTAAAATAAAAATAACTGAGTTTCAACATACATACCGTAGCCAGCCTCTTTTCTTAAGCTGAAAAACATTGTCAACCAAATTTAAAATAGGCACGCTCACATTTGGTGGCGTCCACTGCAAAAAAGAAAGATACAGATGTTTAATAGTATCTTATAAACAAAAGAGAAATATAGAAAAGATCTTGCCAACACAGACCTCTGGTGGCACAGCTGCTGGATCCTCCAAATTATTAGGAATCATGGTGAAATTTGTAGCTGGTACGTCCTTGCCAAACCTGGCTTCAACAACCAAACCACGTTTTCTCTCTTGATCCAATTTACCAGACACTCCAGCTTGGTTTATCACCCGTGGGGGATAACCCTTTGAGCCCAATTCATTGTCAGAATGCCATTCATGAGATTGTACTCCTTCTCCATCACCACCCTCAGGGCCAATATCAGCATTTTTCTCACCTTCCTCAGTGTCAGAGCTTAGAACAGTATCTGCCATATTTTGCCTAGGAACACTTTTATCGATTTCATCTGAATTCCAAGACAAATTCCATGAGATAGACGTTGAAGGACTTTCATTGGTTGGAGATGTTGAACCAACTACTTTTCTCATTAAACCATCTGAGACCCCTTTAAATTGGCGTACAATGTCATCCACAGCATCATCCACATTGACTGTTAATATTAAAAATTCAAAAATTAATCTCGAGTTTAAAAAAAAAAAAAAAAAAAAAAAGGTAAGAAGTTGCGCATCCAGAAATGTTTGCATGTTAAGATTTGGGATTAAATCCCCGCCCCCCACCCAAAAAAAAAAGAAAAGAAAAAACACCAAAGAAAGAAAAAGAAATCATTTTTTCAACACGACTCATTTGAGATTGATAAGACCCAACCTCCTGCTATGAATTGTAAATTATAGAAATTTTCTACAAACAAACAGTTTCACTTACCAGAGAAGCCTTTCAGCTTCAGCCATTAAAGGCATAAAAGAGGCCAGCTCAAATACCAACTGAAAGGTTTTGTTAGCCTAAACAATACAATATGGTGACTTCCTATATCATTCTTCCCACTACTCTCCAAAAATGACAGAAAACTTTCTGCCTTACGGGCCGGAACCTTCAAATCAAAGATAAAGGTATACAAGAATGCCAATTGTAAAAATTCTCTGACAATTATTTCTCTCTTTTCCCCAATTTATAATGGCGCATTTGAATGAAAAGAAAACAAGGGTTGGAAGAATTTCAAGTTAGAAAATAAAACTGCCAATACAATTTTTTTTAACTATAAAGCAGATGAACAAGTGAGAACACAATGCCAACTTGCCCGTCAATACATATACAAAAGTTACCAGCTGAGCTCATAAACTGCAAGCGTGAAAAACTCAGGTCAGAGTTACATACCTGCCAGGGTCTTCATCATTGAGGAAGATTTCCCAAATGAGTAGTTCTTCAGGGGGAAAATGACAACAATAACACTTTTGTTAGAATATCGTTATCATTACCCTTCCAGAAAGTACCAAGAGAAATGATACAAAGGTCATATGAAGTTATAATAAGAAAAGAAAAATACAGATGCACACCTTTGAGGAAACACTCAAAAAATCCCATACTTCATGTTGTTCAGCAACATTAGCTATTGACAGGAGATCCTGAAGCAAGACAGCATACAGAGGTCAAGAAAAAGCCAGTACAAAGTACAAAAGAAATTTATGCCTTTGAAGGGTTGTAGTCATGCAGAGAAGGACTAAAAATACCTGAAGGTATTTATCAAGCTGAATGCAACGCTGATGGACAAAAGAATCCTCTGTGCTCGAAGAAAATATCCTTTTAGGAGGCAAATGTAGTGTGTAATTGGGAATATCTTTTAGATGCCGATGCAATCGCTCAAAATTCCTGTATCTGTATATCACCAAGAGGGGGGGAAGTCATAACACAGAAGTTGGAATGGATCAATTTCCAGACCCAAAACATATTTTTCAAGTAAAAAGGATAGCTTAAGCAAAAAATTTGGGGATAGAGAACCATTTAACAAACATTGTACTTCAGAAACCTGGTCGGTTTATTTTATAGATAGAATTTAGAACAACACCTTACTTTATTAACCCAGTTATAATGAACTTACATGTAATATTCAAAATTTAAATACAAACTGTGGACACCAATTAAAATCATAATCATAATAAAATCTATGTGAGAAGCAAACCTTCTCTTCACAAACCAAGTTCTGTTTTGTGCATCTGTCACTGCAATTGAATAAACAGCAAAAGATTTGGACCCAAGTTTCTCAAAATATGCCCCCATAACCTGCAAAGTTCAAGAAGGCAAGGACAAACAATTCATTAGTTTTGCACTGTTAGTAATGGGTTGGCCTTAGGCCCTTGTAGTATTTGTAACACATCCACTTTACAACAACGTTCAGCATGTTGTATATTTGTACGATCTTTATTAATAGATATAAGGAGGTTGATCAAAACATGCAATAACCTCTTTAATAAAAATAATCTTTATCGTTCTTTCTCTGTCCTATTCACCCTCTCCTAAGATGTACAACTTAAAAGTAAATACCCACAGTGACAATTCATTCTGCTCCTAGATGGTGTCTATTAAAAAGAATCTGGTTCACATTACTTTCCAAAATAGTCTATCTCAAGATTTTCAAGACAAGATGCATACCCGACACCGAAGCTTGGGAAATAGTTGCCCCTCTTTCCTAACAATCATGTCAGAAGCACTCTTTCCCCGAAATCCTTCACCGGGCCTCCCAAAATCAGGGGTAAAGAACTCTGAAATTATGGGCCCTCCCCCTTTCTGTGGTTGAATTGCCAAGTCAGAAGTACTGTTGGATTTCTTGAACCGACCTTTATTAGCAACAGCCTCAGTATCCTTCACTTCATCAACTTGATGTTCTCCCTCAGATAATAACCCCTTGACAGGGTTCTGAGAAGACGCTGGCTCATTTGTGCTCCTAAAATTTATCAACGGATCTGAACTCAAGGTGCCCATTGGCAGCAGTGAAGACTTCACTTCTGGAACTGCATACTTTAAAGGATTACTTGCTGACTTTTCCACAGTCAAATTTTCGTCAGGCTCCACGCTATCTCTAACAGGACTCTTTGCAGGAAGATCTTGATAGCCTACTTTCATTTTTTTTATCTCTTTCTTTCTGTAGTTCCTTCCTTTTGTCCACATGTTCTCAAGATTCTCAGGCATAAGAACTTCAGTTCTTCTCTGAGTCGCGGCATCTAACCCTCGCGCCCAATCACCATGTCTGACCTGCAAAGGATCTTGCTGACTCAAGGCTGTATTACCATCATGACTAATCCCAGCAACAGCAGAACGCCCATGATGATGACTAGCCGTGTAAGAAGATTGATCACTGAACACCCCAAGTGCGCCCCCATCATTGAAGATAAGCACTAGGGTTTCGATCAGTTCATTAATATACCTGATAATTTATAGAAATAAATAATCACACATTTATGAACAGAAATTTGAATACGACAACAAGAAGCCTTATCTCACTAGGTGGAGTTGGCTACATATATCACACGACGCAATGAATAGAAATTTGAATAAAATGTGAAAAAATATAGTCAGAAGTGTCCTGTAAAACTAAAACTTGTAAATGTCTTGCATGACAGGTTTATTTCAGACATCAAAACTCAAACGGAAAATGGAGTCTTACGAGTTTTTGTACATTATCCAGCTATATCAATATGACAATATGTTTTAAGCATTTCCTTCTCTCTTTTTTTCTTTTTTGGAGGGGGGTTAATTGTGCAATCAGATATTACCCTACATATCATAGTTCAAAATAAAAACATAGCTTTAATAGCCCAGATCCATAGAAGAAAGTCTTAGTAAACAGAATCTCTAAATTTGAACTACACAAAAGCCAATCCGCACACCTCCACCATTCCCCCCCCCCCCAAAAAACGGAAAAAAAAAAAAAGAAGAAAAAAGAAAAAGAAAGGGAATTTAGTTCAGCAAACTGTTCAACAGATTAAAAACAACTAAAAACCATTAATGTGTTCCTGCCTAAAAGAAAAACTTAAAATTAGTAAACCAAATAATATAATAAAGAACATACCCAGGGCTTGCCAAATCCATGATAGGTTGTATTACCAAGCAAGTTAATAATTCCCTAGCTATAGATCGAATCACAGGGCATTGAGCTTCTCGTTGTCTGAGTACTATAGCAATTACCCCACCCATTAGTCTCTGAAGAACCTACAGGAAGGTGAAACCGTTGGACAAGATACAAGCCACAATTCCCAAAAGCAAAAATGGAGATGTCAGAACACTCCACTCACACCTTGTACTCACTCTCAGGAGATACAAGTGCAGGATGAAGCTCCTTAGAATTCAAGAGATGGTACTTCAATCGTTCATCCCTCTCCTCGGAAGATAAGGTTAACATAACATCAACACCTATAAGAGCTTGATTTCTTCTGAAAAGGTCTAAGTGATCACTTACTAGATCAACTATATCCCTGCCACGTGAGAGAAATTAAAATCAATCAGTAATTATTAATAGTACTAAATTCAAAATCACATTTAAAATCCTAGCCAAGAACGTGCCATATTCCTATTCCTATCCTTCTTTGGAAGAAAAACAGGGAGGTGGGAATCTGATACCTTGTCAGCAAGTCAACAAGGTTAATCTCCTTAAGCCTTCCAGATATTTCACCAAGAGCATCCATTATAATTGCATGAATGTGCTGAGGAAACTCTTGATCTGGAGTAATATCTGAGTACCACAAATCTATGACAAAATCCTTCAATATTTTATCAATGAAATCACTAGCTGCAGCCTCCACAACTGGAGAATCAATTTTCCTCTTCCATTTTGCAGGGGGAGGTGGAGTAGAGAGGTGTGGATCATTAGGAGAGAATTGTCTCTTCTCCAAATGAGATAAGTATGTCTGTGACCTAGGTGGTTTAACCTTCCAACGGAACTCCACCTTATTCAAAAGAATGCGCAGTGCAGAAACAAGTAGAATTGAGATGGGTACATTCATCCACATTGACTTACTTGTATCTGTGACATACCATAAAGAATTTCAATACAGAAAATGGGTTGACGTGATGCCAATGTTAGTATATTATTCTTTCCTTCTCTCTTTATTTATAAAATTATGAATATGAATACTACATTGGAAGTCATGCCCATGACCACGGACCAGAATGAAGAAACAAACTGAAGTACAATCATTGATTAGGGGATATGGCCCCCAAATAGGAAAGCACAAGCTACCAAGAAATAAGCTAAAGAGTGGGGTTATGGCCAGTTACGCCAAGGAATGAAACCAAGCAATCATAGAATTAGTACTTAGGACACTTTTAACTCCTGTAAATCATAATAATTATCGCTCAGGTCATATATATGAACTATAAGCAATCGACTGAGCTAAAGCAGCATGGTGATGAAGCAAGCAAGTTTCAGGCTTCAGCTACTAACGGCCAGGCTAAAGCTCAAACTTACGCTATAATGATAACAATTAATAGTTTTCAAAGCGAAACCCAGAGCATACGAAGGTACACAGATGCAAATTCACTCATCATTCATTCTGGAAACATCAGATTTAACAAGAAATTAACAAAAAAGTTACGGAATTCCAACCAAAACCACATTCGAATCACTTACGAGTTAAGAAATACGTAATGGCGAATATAGAAAGGGCCCACCAAACTGTTCGGACCTTGGCCTCTTCAATCAGATCATATATAGTATTCAGGGGCTTCATTGTTCGAAAAGCTTCCAATTTTCCCGTGTGATTCACCAACGAGACCGAATCCCCAGCTTCAGATTCAAACACAAGGCGAAAACATTAGAACTCCAAATCGGGAATAACGATGCTAATCGCGGGGCGTCTAGGTTCGGTTCGATTTTCCTCAGGCTGGGGCTTTCCAAAAAACAATTTTTAAATTCCCAGAAGAGATAACAACTGGAATTTGATCAGGCCAGCCTTCTCCAATAATGTTGTTTGTCACTTTGGTCTTTATTTAAGAAGACGCCCTCTGAAATATTGGAGAACACAAAAAGTGATAAAAGCCCCGCTAGTTGCTTCCACGTACTCTCCTCCGTTCTTCTACAGTCCTGCCACCCTCTTTCCTCTCCGATTCGTCTTTTGAAACTTAATTATATTTATTCTAATTTAGATTTTAAATTAAATTAAATTATTAAATTAAACTATTTTTATTGATAAGATGATATTCTTTCCGCACATTTAATTTAATTTGTTCTTTTCTCTTTTTTTTGCCTGAATTTAACTTGTTCTGTTACTAAAAGTAAAACCAATCGGTTCGGGGAGCTAGAACGAAATCAATTCTCCATAATTTAACTGAAATTTAAATTCATAACAGTTAATTAGGATCGTATGAAAAACAACATTAAAGGCACATTTATGATTTTATCTGAAATATTTTTTTTCAGAATCAATTCAACATATAAATTTATTATAATACATAGTAGATAATTATTAGATTTTTTTTTTTTGGCCAGGTAGATCATGATTAGATTTTGTAATTATGTTTTGCACAAAATTTAACATAAGTGACAGTATTAAATATTAATGATAGACTAGTTTATAAATGGTATGATTGTATATAAATTTTGCATTATCTTTTTTTTACGAGCTAAATTTTACATTGGCTACATAATACATGGACACATATTTAGATATATAGATTTATGTAATATTATGCACATTATAGGGGTATGTTTATGTTTATAATGCTTGTACATCTATTTTTGCTTGCGCCCGATCTGTCCTTGAGGGCACAGGCATGTGTGAATCGACGCGTCAATATTTTGTCGTTATGACCAAAATAGCCCTTACTCTTGAACTAGATATTTAGATTGTCGTAGCATTGTAGGAGAAGGCTAAATATTATCCTTTTCACCTGAATAATCTAATATTCTTTTCTGTATTAAATATAAGATTCATTTTATCTTAAATATAACATCTATTTTATTAAAAATGAGTCTTATATTTAGAACTAAATATGTACTTTCATTTCCATGTCTTATGAAAAGAATCTTTCTTTAAATTTTCAGTGTAATTTATTTTACATCACAAACCAATTTTTATATTTAAGGCTAAAGGTAATATAAAAATAAAAGGACTATTGTGAAGATACGAGTCTTGGCACTTGGGCCTTCCATCATTATTGGATCCAATCTTTATCTCAAGCCCAACCATGGTGGAGTGTTTTCCGCCGAAGACAGTCATGTCCATTTTTTGTTTTCCATTAAAAAAAATAAATATGATTACAGTTCGTTGTTTGGGCAAATTAGAAGTGGATCACATTTTTTTTTCTAAACACAAGTATTCTCTTATTGGAGATAATTCTGTTCAAAACACTATCGGGCATTAAATATGGACATTCAAATTTTAGTTCATCACTAGCTCATTCCGTTAAACCAACCCCTATAAATAAGTAGATCACATTATTAAGAAGAAAAAGTAAGAAGAAGTGGATCCCGTGAATTGTAAAGAATCTTAGAAACAATAAAAAAACGTAAATTTTTTCTTAATCACCTTTAAATTTAACCGACCTGAAGCGGGCTACTATTAAAAAGGTTTGAAAAATAAAATATAGAAGGAGAGAGTATTTTTAAAAAATAATTCCATCAATATTCCATTCAATTGTATAGAATGTTTGACACTGCCTCCTAGATCGAATCTTTTAATTGGGACCGAAGGTAGCATAAAAGATCACAAGAGACCTTATTAATAAGACCAGAGGGGATAATTTGTAACAAGATGGTGATAAGTGTTACTATTTTCCTCTCACTTTTTTCTTTTAGGAATGAAATTTGCCCATTCACATGAAATGTAAAGCATGCTTTTTGATTAAGCAAAGACACATAAATATAAAAAATAAATAAAAAGGAGCACATATATGTATGTATACAGGTTGCTTAAAAAATTCAAGCTAGCATTTAAATGTAAAACGTGATTCATTTTGATATGCAGTATGCTTTCACGTTACATAATCTAAGTTTCAATAGCCTTGTTTCCCTTCATTTTTCATCTATTTCCGGAATAAGAAAGTTGGCATATACCAAACCTGGATTTACCTTCTCGGGATTATTGTTAAAAATAAGACCAAGTCAAAGTCAAATCATTGGTTTTGGTTGTCCTGTTTGCCACTAGATCCTCACATTATAATCACAATGATCAATCTCCTCCCTGAGTTCGCACGAGAGAAAACGAAAGCCACGCCAAAATTAGAGGTGTCTAAGAGAGAAATCAGATTGCAGGAGCTAAAAATGGTTTTCAATTTCCACCCCTGTTCAAAGGTTTCATCCATGCTCCCTCAATATAAAAGTCGAGGTTTGGGTTTATTCCTTTAGCTTACCTATTAAGCAGCTTAGGGCCTATTAAGGCACCATGGCTAAGCCATATTCAAAGCATGCCTTAGGCTGCTTCATCTTTAGCTCCCTCATTATATCTTCTCTCTCACATTTACTTCCATCATTTACAGAGGATAGCGATCTTACATTAGGTTTTAATGTTGAAGTTGATGTTAATTTAACTTTTGCTCATAAAAGGCTTAAAAACGCCTATGTTGCTCTTCAAGCTTGGAAAAGTGCCATTTACTCTGACCCATTAAAAATACTTGACAATTGGGTGGGTTCCGATGTATGTTCTTATAATGGTGTGTTTTGTGCTGAAGCTCTTGATGATTCTAAATTAACCGTTGTTGCTGGAATAGATCTCAATCATGCAGACATTGCTGGTAATCTTGTACCAGAGTTAAGCCTCCTAACTGACATGGCTCTTTTCCATATCAACTCTAATAGGTTTTGTGGCATTATTCCAGAGAACTTTAAGAATCTCACTCTTATGTATGAGTTTGATATCAGCAACAATAGATTTGTTGGCACTTTTCCTTCTGTAGTCCTTACATGGCCAAACATAAAGTACCTAGATCTTAGGTTTAATAATTTTGAAGGACCTTTACCTCCACAACTATTTGAGAAAGATATCGATGCATTATTCTTGAACAATAATCGTTTCGGTTCAAGCATCCCAGAAACCCTAGGGAACTCTCCAGCCTCTGTCATAACATTTGCTAACAACAATTTCACAGGTTGCATTCCAAAATCAATTGGGAACATGGTGAACTTGAATGAGATTGTTTTCCTAAGCAACGGCCTTGGAGGTTGCTTCCCAACAGAGATGGGAATGTTAAGAAATGTGACAATCCTTGACGTCAGCCATAATGGTTTTGTTGGGACTTTGCCAAATTTTTCAAGTTTGAAGAGTGTGGAGGTAATAGACATTTCACATAATAAGATTGCTGGGTATGTGTCAGACACCATTTGCAAGCTACCAAGGTTGACCAAATTTGCATTCTCTGACAATTACTTCAATGGAGAAGCTCAATCTTGTATACCATCTTCAAGAACAAATGTTGTTTTCGATGACAGTAACAATTGTTTGCCATTAAGGTCAAATCAAAAGACAAGCAAGCAATGTCTCCCAATAGTGACTCGTCCTGTAGACTGTAGTAAGAGTTGTGGGAGTGGTGGTAATAATCATACCTCATTAACACCAAAAACACCAAGGGTAGAGCCACCAGTTCAATCTCTTCAACCTCCAATTCACTCTCCTCTACCTCCAGTCCAGTCTCCACCAACCCCATTTTATTCTCCGCCTTCACCCCAGGTTCACTCTCCTTTACCTCTAGTCCATTCTCCACCTCTACATGTGTTCTTCCCTTCACCCCCAATCCACTCTCCGCCTCCACTAGTGCACTCTCCTCCACCCCCACTCCAGTCTCCTCCGCCTCCACCTGTGCACTCTCTTCCACCCCCACTTCAGTCTCCTCTGCCTCCACCAATACACTCTCCTCCACCCCCAGTCCACTCTCCACCTCCACCCATGCACTCTCCTCCACCCCCGCTCCAGTCTCCTCCACCTCCACCTGTGCACTCTCCTCCACCCCCGCTCCAGTCTCCTCCACCTCCACCTGTGCACTCTCCTCCACCCCCACTCCAGTCTCCCCCGCCTCTACCTGTGCACTCTTCTCCGCCTCCACCAATGTTCTCTCCTCCATCCCCAACACAGTTTCCTCCACCTCCACTTGTGTTCTCTCGTCAGCCTCCACTCTACTCTCCACTGCCACTAATTCACTCTCCTCCAATCCAATCTCCACCCCCAATTCATTCTCCCCCACCCCCAATCCATTCTCCACCTCCACCTCCGCCTGTGTTTTCTCCTCCACCCCTAGTTCACTCTCCACCACCCCCAATCCAATCTCCACCTCCACCTATTTTCTCTCCCCCACCACCAACTAGCCCTCCTCCTCCTACTCCTATACTGTCTCCACCGCCACCAGCATGGAATGATGTCATCTTGCCCCCAACCTTTGGAGCACAATATAGTTCACCACCTCCACCAGCTATTATTGGATATTAAAATAACATGACATGATACAAATGTAGCATTTGTAATTTCGTTATTCCTCAATTTTACTTTCTCTTCGTATCTCTTTTATGTAACTATATAACTTTTTTCAAATTATTAGTGAGGGAGTCATTATTTATGAGGAATATATAATTGTTTTACTCAAATAAAAATCAATTAAGAATAATCAATGTCATATATTTAAAAAAATTTCTAAAATATCCTTATTAAAAGTACTCAGTAGATAATTATGATTTAGTTGAAAAATTTTATTAAGAGTAAACTTAAAAACTTTACTAAATACAAAAAAGTTAGTAGTTTCTAAGCCTAAAAAAAACCTCAAATGAATAGCAATATTTGTCATAAAAGTAAAATGAGTGAACACTATTATTACTGACGTCGTTTCGAAGGTAAATAATTAATGTTGTCGGTTGCGTTTTAAGTAACCTTCTTGGCCATTTTCCTCCGAAATTAAGCTCTTTGCTGCGTTGCCCACGTATTAGTGACTTCTAAATAGTGGCCTGCGTCTTCTCCAACAAATGAAGCTGTCCGTGCCGAGATTAAGCTCCTGGATGCTCTCTCATTATAAATACCTCCCCCAATTTTTAGCTAAAATATTACCCCTTCCAATCTGATGCTAGAGTTAAATAATTAATTCACAAAAATTAAGAAAATTAGTTAAAAATAAAAAATTATTTATAACTTCACAAGAAATAAATTATTTGATTTGATAAACTTCATAGATTTAATAAATCTGTTATATATATACTGATGCTAGATAGCACAAAAATAAATTCGACCATTTAAATAGAGGGTCTCAAGTTTAAGTATGTGTAAATGTAAAAAGTGTTTCTCTACTTTTACCCAAAAAGAAGTTTGGTATATCCCATGATAATTCGGACTCATTAAACTTTCTTCTTTATCTTTCTCCATTCTGAGAGTTATACGCCTAGAGAGAAACTATAGCTTTTTTTTTTAAATGTTTTTCCTAGGTGGAACCAGAGTATGCTCATAATTCTTGCTTTTATATTATCTCCGATCCTAATTATAAGATTTCATTTGTAAACTGCAAACGAAACGAGGTCGTATAATTAGAACCGGAAGTAATAGTTTATAGCCATATGATTGAGTCAAATGTATGCAATATAACGCTATGTGCATTGTGCATGACATGTTGATCCATATGATCAATTATTATTGTATGGTTATGATTATTATGTCTAACCTAATTCATTGAAATTAAAAGTTAAATAATAAGGTGATGAAAATATAACATATTTAAATGAATGGGAATGGATCAGAGAGTGGTGCTCTCAAGAAAGGCTATCCAACCCGTTTGTCCTCCATTATCACACAATGTAAAATCATTTCTTGAATAATACTAATTAATAAATGAGACGGATGATCAAATTTGTCACCTTAACTAACATGTTTTTTATTTAAATTCTTCAATCATCGTAGAACTCAGAACTTTCTATAGTAATTCTAAACCTACCGCAAAGTTAAAGACAACTTTTTTCTTTTCCAATCATTGATGATTGATTTCAAACCTTCATTTCCTAACAAAGTCTAATCCAGTAGAGCAAGAAAAAGGACATTACATGAACAGATGAACCACCTAATCAAACCAAACCGATGAATCATACAGCTATTCGATCGTGCGTCAATCATTAAAAGTCACACAGAACAGAACCAACCACCCCACCAATTTGAAGCAGAAGCCATGGGAGAGGTAGAGGCAGCTTTCATTCAAGCCCCAGAACACAGGCCTGATCTCTCCATCATCGCCGAAGCTCAAGGCATTCCCGTGATTGACCTTTCTCCAATCCACCAACACTTTGAAAACGACACCGTTTCAGACCAGTCCGCCATTGAAGGCGTCGTGAAAGAGGTACGCAGAGCGTGCAAGGAATGGGGCTTCTTCCAAGTCACCAATCATGGGGTTCCTCTGAATCTCAGACAGAGAGTCGAGGACGTTTCAAGAAAGTTCTTTTCTCAGAGTTTGGAGGAGAAGAAGAAGGTGGCCAGAGACCACACAAGCTTGTCTGGTTATTACGACTCAGAGCACACCAAAAACGTCAGGGATTGGAAGGAGGGTCTTGATTTTCTGGCTAAAGAACCCACTCTCGTCCCTATTTCCGCTGACGATGACGATGATCGAACGACTCAATGGTTTAATCGCTACCCTCAAAACCCTCCAGAGCTAAGGTAGGCGAAAAGCTAAATAGCCCAATTTAGCAAAATAACGATGATGATGATGTTGTTGTGGGATACTAATTTCTTAATCTTGTGACTTATTGAAGAGGAACAGTTTTGGAGTATATCGATGAGATGGAGAAGCTGGCATTTAAGTTGTTGGAGCTGATTGCTCTGAGCTTGGGGTTAGAATCAAGAAGGTTTCATGGCTATTACCTGAAAGATCAGAGCAGCTTTATTCGATTCAATCACTATCCTGCTTGTCCCTCGCCTCACTTGGCTCTCGGAGTTGGACGACACAAGGATCCTGGTGCCCTAACAATTCTTGCTCAAGATGAAGTTGAAGGACTCGAAGTCAGACGCAAATCGGATCAAGAATGGATCAGAGTCAAACCCGCCCCACAAGCTCTTATCATCAACGTTGGTGAAGTCGTTCAGGTACATAATTCTCCGAGATCTTCATTAATATCATCAGATGTTCATGTGGAGTTGTCAAGTTTGATTATTTGGAGACATGTTTGTTGTGTGTAGGTTTGGAGCAATGATGAGTATGAGAGTGCGGAGCACAGGGTGATAGTGAACTGTGAGAAGGAAAGGTTTTCGATTCCCTTCTTCTTCAATCCTGCGCATTACACCATTGTTGAGCCTTTGAAGGAGCTGATTAATGAACAAAACCCTTCAAAATATAGGCCCTATAATTTTGGCAAGTATCTTGTGAAGAGAAAAGAGAGCAATTCCCAGAAACAGAACGTGGAAAACCTTCTGATTTCTCATTTCAGGCTGCTTTAAATACGTATATATCATTATCCTTTGGCTTCTGTATGGATTGAGCAGTAATGTGAGACAATGAGTGCATTTTATTTTCCTTTTTTTTTTCCCTCTTCTTTTTCCTAAAAGCTGCATTTGTGTCTGTGTGGTTTATGTAAACTAAATAAAAACGTCTGAGATAATATATTTTGTACTGTTTCATGTCATAAATTTGAATTATGTGTTGACCTTCATCATACAAGCTGATGGATTTGGGACCAAATATGGAGAAAACCAGCAACATAAGACTGGTCACTGAACCATACCCACATATGGCGGCTTTTTCACCCGTATGCTACAAACAATGAAAATATACATCAAAATACTGCAGTTTTAAAAATATTTACCAATATACTCGTACTACATTTAAAATCATTCTTGATAAGAACAATTTTCAAATTATACATAACTCGTTCTTGCCAAGAACGATTTGTATGTCGTCTAATAAAAAGTGAAATCGTTCTTGGCGTGAAAGTGAAATCGTTCACGCCAAGACGATTTCATTTTTTAACTTTTCTTTTTCTCTGTAAGAATTTCTCTGCTATTTTCTTTGCATGTGAGACTGACCCACCCACTTGCTAGTCTTTAAAATAGAGGAGAGGTCTATGTAATTGATACAAACTAGAAAGATAGTCAGAGTATTTTATTCATGATTCAAAACACTAATGTCATGACATGTCATCACTGATTTAAAAATACAACATAGCAAATAGCAGGGAAAAGGCAAAAAGAAGGAAAAAAATTATGAGTGCCATTTCCTTTCAAAAAAATGAATTGACAAGTGAGAGAAGTAAGCATTGGGAAGGAAATGGCAGAGGGATTTTCGCATGCAAAGGAAATGGCAAAAGAAATCGTAGAGAGATTCTCGCATGGAAAAGGAATAGTAAAAAAGTGAAATCGTTCTTGCTAAGAATGACTAGTATGTTATCTGATAAAAAGTAAAATTATTCTTAGCATGAACGATTTCACTTTTGGACAATCAAAAAGTGAAATCGTTCACGCCAAGAATAATTTTACTTTTTATCAGATAACATACTAGTCATTCTTAGCAAGAACGACTTGTGTATAATTTAAAAATTGTTCTTTTCAAGAATGATTTTAAGTGTAACATATTGATAAATACTTTTGAAACTACAGTATTTTGGTATATATTTTTCCTATTTGTAGCGTACTGGTAAGAAAGCCCACATGTGGCTGTAGGCTTGGGATGCCCCAAGGACACTGGGCTCTTAACTGTGGTTTCGTAAGATTTCAGCTAAAGCTGCCCTCCTCAACTCAAATTAGCTTGGGATTTAAGAAGGTGGTTCTTGAATCTGATGCAAAGGTTTTGATTGACAGGCTGCTTAATGGATGCAATGTTACCACCGCTAGCTTGGTATTTCTCCAGATTCTCAACCTGATGGATTATATTACCAAGTACGTGTATAGAGAATTTAGCCAAGGATGCTTTATCTCACTCTTCCATTTTGGATGTCAAGGATTTGTGGCGTACTAGGAAATCTGATGAAGATAATCTGGTAGCCCATGCGCAATGAAATCACGTGACGGACTCCATTAATAATATGCAGCAGATAACATCAGAGGAAGAGAAGAGAAGAAAGTATACGATTATGGTCAGAGAAAGAAGATGATGAAACCTTCAATTTGTTATTCATCAACCCAATTCAGAACGGTGTACATCTACTGCATATATAGTACACGTGGGTTCTAACTAAACTTAGTTACAGACTCAACAAGTTGCCAACTTGACAGATGGTGACAGCTGGACACAACTAAAGCCCATTGGACTTATACACTAACATTTCCCCTGCTTGTAAAAAAAAATACTAGTTGCTGACACTCTCTAGTGAAACAACACGTAGACGATCCCTGAAATCAGCAAATAGTGTTGAAGATAAGGCTTTAGTCAACGTGTCAACTACTTGATCTCTTGCTGGAACATATCCTACTCGCAATATCCCTTCTGCAACTTTTTCACGGACAAAATACAAGTCAAGCTCAAAATGCTTGGATTTATTGTGCAGGACTGGATTAGCAGCCAAGGCCACTGTTCCAGAGTTGTCACACCACACCATAGGAACACCAATGACCGAAATCTTCATCTCCTGTAGCACAGCGAGAAGCCAGAGGACATCTGTGATGGAGTCTGCAACACTCCTATATTCTGCCTCAGTAGTGGATCGTGATACCACAGGCTGTTTTCTTGAAGTCCACATTACTGGATTAGAGCCAAAGTAGGTGCAATACCCACTGGTCGAACGCCTATCTTCTTTGGTGGAGCCCCAGTCTGCATCAGCATATGTTTGTACTGTGAAGTTTGCTGCTGGTTGAATTAATAAGCCATAGGACGAAGTGCCATTAAGATACCGCAATACTCTTTTAACACCTTCCCAATGAACAAGTTGAGGACTCTGCATGTATTGTGCCAATTTATTTACTACAAATGAAATATCTGGTCTTGTAATGCATATATATTGAAGTGCACCTAAAATGCTCCTATAGGTAGTACAATCTGAATAGGCAAGACTATTAGGATTGGTCAACTGAGCAGATACAGCCAAAGGAGTAGACTTTGCTTTTGACCCAAGCATATGTGTCTTACGCAGCAACTCAGTAATATATTTTCTTTGTGATAAATGATATCCAGCTGCTGTGCGATGAAACTCAATCCCCAAGAAAAAGGACAATTCACCAAGAACCTTTAAAGAGAAAGATGAGCTCATTTGAGAGATGAGTCTTTGCACTTCAGTATCATTGCTACCAGTAATTATAAGATCATCAACATAGACTAACAAATATATGACCGTATTATTGCATTGTCTAAGGAACATGCACACATCAGACTTCAACTGGTCAAACCCCAAAACACGTAATGCTTCTCTGAGCTTCAAAAACCAAGCCCTTGGAGCTTGTTTGAGCCCATATATGGCTTTCTTTAATCTGCATACTAACTGTAGACCAGTAGGATTAGAATTTATTTTTTCAAAACCAGGAGGCTGCCTCATAAACACTTCTTCAGTGATATCTCCATTAAGAAAAGCATTGTTAAAGTCAAGTTGATGAACCTTCCAACCTTTAGTTACTGCGAGTGTGAGCAAGATACGTACTGTCGATTGCTTAATAACAGGACTGAAAGTGTCAGTATAATCAGCTCCAGCTTCCTGCAAGAATCCTTGCGCAACAAGTCTAGCTTTCCTTTTGACAGTGATACCCTCAGCATTGGTTTTATTTTTGAAGATCCATTTGCAACCAACTATTTTCCCATCAGTAGGAGTTGGCACTAATTCCCAAGTACCAAACTGTATAAGAGCATTGTACTCATCTTCAGCAGCTGATTTCCAATCAGGATCAGCAAAGGCCTCATGAATGGTAGTGGGACAATAAGGAATATTTGATGCTGCTAAGTACACTTTGGGTTTATAGATACCAGCTTTGGCTCGGGTAGTCATGGGATGATAATTGGAAGACATGGTAGGAATAGTTGGTGGTAAGGATGATTCTTGAACGGATATAGATGAAGGAGAGGGGGTTTGTGTTGAACAGGGAGACGGGTGAGGTAAGTCAGATATAGTGGGAGATGGTTTGGTGATTGGTGAAGAGACTGGTATTAAAGAAGAAGTAATTTCAGAAGATGGTTGATTTCGTACGTTGTACTGACACTGAGAAGAAAAGGAATTTTCATCAAATATCACATGCCTTGATATGTAAAGCTTCCCTGTCAACAAATCAAGACACTTGTATCCCTTATGCTGAGAGCTGTAGCCAAGAAAAACACATGGTGCATACCTATATTGAAGTTTGTGAGCATTGTAAGGGCGCAACCATGGATAACAGAGGCACCCAAAAACTTTTAATATAGTATATTCAGCCTTCTTCTCATAAAGCTTCTCATAAGGACAACTACCTTTTAAAGGTTGAGAAGGTAGCCGATTGATTAAAAAGACTGCAGCAGTAAATGCATGAGGCCAGTAGTACAGAGGTAACGAGGCTTGAGCAAGCAAGGTGAGACCAATTTCCACAATATGCCTATGCTTCCTTTCAATTAGTCCATTTTGCTCTGAAGTATATGGACAAGAAAAACGATGTGTAATGCCTGAATCAGCCAAGTACTTACTGAACACTAAAAATTCACCACCATTATCTGACTGAAATTGCTGAATTTTTGTGTGGAATTGATTTTCAACTTTGGACTTAAATTCCTTAAAAACTTACAGAGCTTCAGATTTTTGTTTCAGAAGATAAATCCAGACAAAGCGACTATAAGCATCAATAAAGCTGATATAGTAGGAGTAACCAGAGGAAACAATCGGGGCTGGTCCCCATAAGTCTGCCACAATCAACTCAAAAGGTTTATTGTAAACTGTATCTGAAGATACAAAAGGTAGTTTATGGCTCTTGCCCATTTGACATGCCGTACACACAAAACAAGAACTATCTTTAGGAATGGGTACATTATTTGACTGTAAAATTTTTTTTGTAACTTCCATAGAGGGGTGACCCAATCTGCGATGCCAGAGTTCTAAGGAACTTGTCATAGATGCTGCAAAACATGAGGGAGATGGAACTGATAAACCTGGTTGCTGAGCTCTTGACTTGGCGCTTTGATACTTGTACATGCCGCGTACCTCATAGCCACACCCCAAAGTCACTCGGGTCTGCAGATCCTTAATAATACAGTCATTAGGAAAGAATTCAACAGAGACTTGATTCTCCTTGGTAAAACGAGCAATTGACACCAAGTTCTTTTTCATTTGTGGTACACACAAAATATTATGAAGATGTAACGGCCTAGTAGCAGGCAAAACAGAGTTTCCTACTACAGTGATGGGCAGAGGATGACCATTACCTACTTCCACTGTGCCGGAGCCATGATAAACAGCAGAAGGTTGTTGAATTTGAGCAGAAGTGCGCGCAACATGTTGAGTTGCACCAGAATCAAAATACCATTCATTATCACCATCTTGTGTACTTGGAGTGGCCAGATAAACTTGTGGATTTTCAGCTTGGTCAGTAGTCGGTACAGATACTGAATTTGAAACACTCGTTGAAGTGGAATGTGTAACACCTCACATAATTATATCAATATACGCAATAAAATATTTAATTTAAAAGTCCATACATATTTTTAATACTGCAATTAAGTTAAAATTTCAAAACATTTCTAACATAACTTAACAACATAAACTATTAAAGTCTTAT